TCTCTTTCCTTTCTTTCTTTTCACTTGTGCATAATATCATAATATCATAATACTTGGGGCGGCAACGATAGAGTTCACTCCACTGGCCTTGAGTTAGGCACGCGTAGTACTCGAGCAACTTACTGTGTAGGCTGAAGTGGCATAATAGAAAATGGTTAGATGGAGCCGTTTCTGGATACTCTTTTATATGGGTTTTTTTAAATTCCCGTAGTAGCCAGCCCCATACTGGCACTGTACAGTACCCTCTAGCTGACGCTCCTATCCCAAGAGTCTTTTACCAACTGTATAGCCTGGCCTGTTTCTCACTACTCGATCATTTCGACACTTCTCCCCAACCCTTTGCCTAACTTAAAATCTGCTTTTGATATATGGTAACATAATATATGATTAAGGCATTTCAAAAAGTGTACTGGGGTGGGGGGAAATGTGTGCTATTATGCATGTTGGGGGCCTAGGTTGAATGCCAAGGCCCAGTTTTGAACACGAGAAAAGGGAACAGGTATGATAGAGCTTCAAATAAAGGCATTTTTAATCCTAATGTTGTTTTTAAAAAGAATGTTGTATGGTAAATATAGGACGAGGGGGGTATCATAGTATTGATCGGAAATAGGTAAAAAAAGGAGAAGGATGCGAACCTGTCGTGATGAGGTAAACCACTGTGGTAATCTGGATGCCTCCACGCTCATCAAGTGAGGGAATGTTGGAGGGGTAGAACACCGTGGGTTTCATATGCTTTACTCTTTCTGTGTTCACAGCATCCATTACTAAGAGAGTAGTTATAGAACAGTGCTGTCATACCTTTGCTCCCACATCGGATCTCCGCTGGCGATATATGTTATATCTGGCTATGTATCGTACTTGGACTCACTGTTCAGATCCTGAATATTTACAAGCGACTACACCCCATCATGCTGTTATGGCCTTAGTGGAATAGGGGATGTGAGGCATATTCTGGCTAACAGTAGTCCATATCTGCAAGAAATCCATCGTGAATGTACGCCTTGAGGTCCTGGTAATCGAGAGACGTTTGCTAGAACAGCTGCTGTTGCGTGACCCGCCGATGGAAGAGGAAGGAAAAAATTGTGAAGTTGTGTTTACGAATATCCTTTTTTATCGACGAGGAATGCTACTAAGCTTATATACCTCAACTTGGTCCCCGGATCCCTTCCACCGCCTCTTGCTCCTCCCCTCCACGGAAATCCAGAATGTCCTTCCTCGCACTTCCCAATGAATTCCTTCTCCAAATATGCACTCTACTTATATTGGAAATACCGGATATCGCCTCGGTTCTGGGAACATGCCGCAGTCTCACAATCTTCTCCCCGTCAATTCTTGTTACCTAGGTATTGAAACGGCGTTGTAAGAAATACTGCAAAGAGTGCCCTCCACCATACCGCCGAAAACCATTACCACTACTCTACAATTAGGTTACTATTAGAAGATAGAGTCTTTGAGGTCATCAACACCGGTCGAATTCTTCTCAATGTTGCAGTACACACTATGAACGGAGGGGGGATCGCAACGCTATTAGGTTGAGGAATTGACCCGAACACCCTGGACGGGGGGGTTCCGGGGTGCGGCAAGGGAACTATTGCACTACACCCCTGGGGTAGATGTGATTCGCTCTTGGGTATATCATACCCCGGTTTCATAGCTTTTCATCTGGCCATCTAGACTAGGGACGAGGACATGGTGGGGGATCGTCCCCGGAATTCCCCAAAACAGACGCGAATAGGGTGGACAACACTCGACGGACGGAACCAGAGCGTCATGCATGACATTATTAGTTAGTGGGTATCTGCTAATTTCGTTGGTCGTACATTACGGGTAGGGCGGGGTGTCTATTCGCCATTCTCCGGTTTTGCGGGGTTTCATCACGATGTCTTTGGCGCGTATGATTTCAGTGTGAGGATGTTAGGATAATACCCTGGGGTGGATATGGACAGGGAGGACAACATGGAGCAGTTGCCCAGAATGGCTGCAGAATCCTTGGAATTTTGTCTGCGCATGCCGGGGTTAACATCAACGTTTTGTCTCAGGACCTCGAAAGGCCACTCTGGATCTCTTGTACGGGCCACCTCGCTATTACGAATGAATCCTCTCTGAATCTACCCCCCTGCTACCATACAAAGGGTTCTCGCTATAAGGGACCCCGCTCAAAAGCTCACTATAGCGAACGAAAAATCCGGAACTCTTGGCGTCCATTATAGCGAGGTGCGTCTGTACGATACTAAAATTCGCCGAGCGACACAATCAATCCTGCATTTTGCTATCCCTTGCGCTGCACAATCCGTGATAGAGATTTTGCTTGAGGGTGGAGGAATAGGTGTCAATTTGCTTGATGGAAATCGGAGGACTGCACTGCATATTGCTGCACCCAATGGGAGGATGGATGTCATTCGATTGCTGCTAGCTCACAGAGATATTGAGATCGGAAAGTACCCCATCATCGAGCGGGTTGCAAGGAGGAGAGGGGTAGTATACTCGAGTACGAGTACCTTGACCTTGCAAGTGAACTCAAGTATCCTTATTACCACACCAACAGCACTAACCCCCCCAATTATGCAATAGCGCCCAGTTGCTCAGCCTTACCGCGGGGAAGAACCCCTACCAGGCTATGAGTGACCCTCTACTTTTGTCGAGGTGTCTGAAAAGAGTTTGATATCACTGAGATGGCTTGTACTGTACCGCCGATGTTAGTCTGATGATTATGTCCTGGGAAATTGGAGCTGTATGAGAATGAACTACCATAAAAACCTCCTTGGAAGTCTAGTCTTTGTTCTGTGCCGGTGGTTACTCCAAGAATTATCTAGCGCTTATACGTTTATTCCCTCTAGTGTAGTCTCGAATGCTGCGAGTAAGTTACTCTCTAGAAAATCTCACCGCACTTTGAAGCCGTTCTTCATACTTGGACGCTCTTCGCAGGTTTGATCAAGCCATGGCACTTTATGTGGCTTGCCGATAGTTTACCGTCACAGTGACAATCAAGAGCAGGCATTTACCACATGTCGTATATGTCTCGTGTTTGACCCGGCACTTGTCTCGTATCCCAGTCGGGTATTGCATGACGAGGAAACACGTTACCCCTCACCCAATTTTATCATTTCCATTTTGTCACAAACTTTTTCGTTTTTTCCTACCCGAACACCGCTGCCGCCGTACCCCCCCCCCTTCCAATAAACACCTTAGAAAATGGCAACTCCTACTATTCTCAACACCCCACGTACTCTAACCCTCTCATCCGAGGAAGAGGTCTAAGCACCTGGAGACTGCTCGTATGAAGGCTCTAAGATTGGATATCGATTTTGTTTAATCTGAGGAGTGAGATGCAACTTCTCCCCTCAGACACAGATTATCACTCATACCAACTCAGCAAGTGAGAAACTCCCTTGTTTTGTAGTCTGCCTTCAAAACCAAAATTCCTCTGGAGTGGGTCGTCATCGAGATCAAAAAAAAAAAACTTAGGGGCTGCAATCTATATGCCTCCCTGAGCCCGATCCACGAGGTACTCGCCCCACCAATCCAAGACCTCCCAGTCCTACCAGTGCAAGATATGAAAGATAGCCGCGGAAATCGCATGCCACCGGCTCTTCGGATCCACCTCTGCGCACCCGCACATTTCCAGGCCTTTGAAGACCAGTATCTCTGTACTTATAACATATCATTTGCTCCGTGTGACAAACTTTCCCATTTTTACATTCCCTTGACCATTTCTCTCCACTCTCGCTCGAACCTGGGACTTTTAGTGTTCTCAACTCCAATGCGACTCCAGCGAAAAGATACGGCAGAGCATACCTTAAAGCGATCCACATCACCCAGGAATGTTAGGCTGACAGCCGGTGCAAACTCCATTTTTGCAGAATGGAGGCCTAATTTTCCTAGGGTATCCACTCGAGCTCTAATTAAGGGTCAAATTCTGAAGCAGTATTTAGTATCATACCCAAGGTGGTGACACACCCTCCTTCCTCTCGCCTTCCCCCCTTCCCTGGCCGCTCCATCCGGCGAGTCTGTACTATGATAGTACTGTAAATTAGGGGTCCGCCCCCGCTTCCTCCAGCCTCTCCGCGATCCTGTGCCAGAGCACCAGTACTGTACCCTAGCTAGGCTTGCAAGTTGCAACTGCACCGAGGCAATCCACCCCTTGGGAAGCGTATCTGGCAACTTTTACACATGACAAGGCTGTTTCGAGATCTGCAGTGAGGATTTGAGCAAAAATATATACATGTAATATTATATATAAAAATTCAAATTCAGGTATGATACAAAGTGATTAGCTCCTGCGTCAGCCGGACGACGCTTCCGGGTTTTCCTTGACCCGGTCCGATGCGTTAGTTATCAGCTTACTCGTGCAATACGGTACAGTAAATACTCGGTAGCAAGAGCGAGTGATTTGTTTCGCAGATAATCATTGCACGTCACCAATTTCCTCTCCAAGAAGGGGAGGAATTCCGAGGGGGTTTTCGCCGTTAGTTGTGCGAATGCGGTTATCGTATGTGAGCGTATGATGTGAGACTGAGAATATTAAGATGACGGTCGTAGGTGACGAGTAAGTGATTGGAGTATTCACTACGGGTGAACGTGAGGTCCTGAACTAGAAACGTTTCAAACGTTGCTATACAGCACAGCTGCTTGGGAGGAGGAAAAAAAAACATAGAATAACTCCGTGAGCTATGATTCTACAAAGGTAGTTCAGCTACAAGTTGATAGCTAGTCTTTTTCTTCACTGACTTATTGATAACTTCCGGATGGCAGGGGCCCCCCTAAATTAGCGTAAATGGAGAGGAAATTCGTCACGACCTCGTACTAAAGCCAACCACTAGAGAGAGAGAGAGAGAGATAACACAATCATAGAGAGCAACTCATTACCTTGGCAGATTTATCAACCGCATCTTAGTGTGGGCGCTGGTGCACGTTCTGATCTTTTCAGCACTACCGGTAACTTGACTTACCCACGGTCATTGCAGGATAAACTTATACCGGTACTAGTAGTCTACTCAATTATTTTCCAATCCTTGAAGTACAATGGTTTACATCAAGTCCACACTCTCTCTCACTAGGTATTTTTTTTTCTCCAAGGTACAATATTTCACTCCTTGCTCCCACCATAACTTTCCTAGGCGCTGGGTAAGAGTATGATAGATAGATGAACTGGGTGCCGGGCAAATGGGCGCCAGGCAGCAAAGCAACTTGGCAGTTGGAGTACTTGTACTACCGTACTGTATCCAAATAAAATGGTCCCGTGTTGGTTTTTCTTTTTCTCTTTCTTTTTTGAGACACATTTTGCTGGAAGCCGGGACACAGAGTACTCGTGTACTCTGTTGAACTTGCTCCGCGTCCGGGTAACCTTTTGTTTACCCGTGGTATCATTATCACAATCTTATCATACAAAAGAAGAAGGAAGAAAATAATAATAATCAGTACCCGCCACTCTCCGTGCTCTAATTACTGTATCTTTGTCGTCTCATCCTTTCCTCCCGAGTGCAGTAGAGTAGAGTAGAATAGAGTAGAGCGAAACAGAGTGTGGACCTCGCAGGAGCATGATGGTGATACTGCAAATTATGGCATCGATTGTGCGAGATGATCCCGTACCCTGCCCATTACTCGTATACTTCGGATGATGGTGATATTGTAGAGTATACTATACCGGTAAGTACGATATAATACCTGGTCTGTGCTCGAGTGCACTGGCTGCGGGCCAAGAATGGCGAGCGCGGCGGGAATTTTGATGATGGGGAGCCATTGGTGGATGCGCCGGTGCTCTATGGTAGCATACAAAGTTGGGGTATGGTATCGGCAAGAGTGGGCTTGTAGTGGATGGGCTGGTGGCGTGGCTTGGAACCCGAAAAACATGATGTTTGCTCCTTGTTCGATCGTGGTTCCCGGTATCACACTCACATAGGGTGCAATACCTTAAATCAAGCAGGAGATCGCCCATCCATAGCTCAGCTTGATGAGCCCACCGGGTAGCAAGCCAGGCGCTTTTCGCTTGAAATACGGCAGTGAGACCAGGGAGTGGAATACATCGAAGGAAAAACATGGCTAGTATTACAACCCTGCTCATCCGGGCAACTATAGGCCCATCGTACGAGTACAAATAGAAGCATCTACCACGGTAAAAAGGCCAACCTCCCAAGCCTTCCAACCCCCATCACAGGAAATAAAAACGACGAGATAAAAAGAGGGAATAAAAAAAAGTTTCCCAAGACCATCTTTCCATTCCCTAATGGTGACTGTTTTTTTTTTTCTATCCAGGAGGATACCGTCATCATTGTGCATTCCTACGGACCATTACTGTGGGTACGGTAGATGCGGCAAGACAGGATTACGAAGGAAGTAGTAAACGTGAGGGGAAAATCGTAGGCGATAGGTTAAATCAGAAGTCCTGTTTATTCCAGATTTTGCTGGGCGAGCTGCGATTCTATAGGTTCTTAGGCGCAGAAGCCTTCTTCTTTTCGACCTTCAGAAGGAGGGCGCGGTTGATATGAGGAAGAACACCCCCGAAGGCGATAGTGGCGCGGATGAGAGTGTCCAGCTCTTCATCTCCACGGATCGCAAGTTGCAGGTGACGAGGCGTGATCCGCTTTACCTTGAGATCCTTCGCAGCGTTACCCGCGAGTTCCAGGACTTCGGCGGTGAGATATTCGAGAACGGCAGTCACATAGACAGCAGCTATACAAACGCAAACATTGTTAGCTTTTGCGATATCGGGGGAAACAGAGAGGAAATGAGAGAAGACGAGATATTTCCATGATAGCGAAGTTTCTATCCGAGCGAGGAACGGCAGGGATTATTCATTTGGAAAAAATTTCGCTCTAGGCTGCCTCGCCTGGGAGAAAACGGGGAGGGAGAGTTACCCTTTGCTCCGACGCGCATTTTGTTCTGTGTGTTGTTTTTGAGGAAACGCTTGACGCGACCGCAGGGAAACTAGGGCATCAAGACAAAATCAGCGACCGTTAGACAAGTGAAAAAAAAAAAAATCCCTCGCGAGTGATCCAGAAGAAAAAGCACTACATTTGTAAACAACTTTGTCCACAGACTTGTGCAAACTGAACGCGGGCGACACAATAACACGCGTCTAAAACGGCGCTCTTCTCGTCTCCCGCTCGATTGCGCAAGTCTGCCGACACCACTGTCAAACCCCCGAATCTAGCTGGAAAAAGGCACAATCCCTAATGCGAATAAAAATTACTGCTCACCTGTAACCCCGCTTTTGCGGAATGCGAAACCTGCTGCCTAGCACCGTCACTGGCACCTTTAGGCCTGGCTTTCCCACCATGAGATTTTCCTTTACCGCCAGACATCGCGTATTGGGTTGTTCAAGTCGAGAGAGTTTGGTATGCGTAGGGTTCTGGCTATCGTTGGGTTGGGTGGCGGTATGATGAAGGTTTGGCGGAGGTTTGGTGTTTCTGTGAAAGATTGCGAAGAGAGAGAAGATAGAAGAAAGTGGCGGGTAGGGAGGGTTGAGTAAGAGTTTCTTTGTAGTAACATGAAAAGTTACCCGGACGCGGAGCTAGCACACAGAGTACTCGTCGTCTCTGTGTCGTAATCATGCCCAGCGGTATGATACGAAAAGAAAGCTTTTACTTGGCCATTTATAAAGTATTAGGACGCTTGGCACCCAGACAGATTCTAATAATGCCAAGGCGTCCCAATACTTTATAAATGGCCAAGTAGGTCATTGGGAGGGACGTTACCCGGTATTGGTATTCAGAATGGTCACGGTACGGTGCTCGATCACCACTGCATCGTACCGTATGTCACGGCTTGCACGAGCAAGGTCCCCTATTACTTACGTGATAAGAATTTATGGATGTTCATCCTTTGAGCTTGTTTTAGCGCCTAAAGCGGAAAAAGAAACCCAATAACTTTAGAGATTTGTGCTGATAGAATGGGCCATATTCTGCCAACACTAGGCAAGGTTAGGGGAACATGTTGGCAATCTTTTTTGACAGTAATCACTTACGGGTACTGTAGTGCAGAGATATAGCCACCTAAATTTTAGGAAACACGTTCTGAACACCTGGGGGTGGGGACTCATCTATACCGGTAGTGGCACCCTTGGAGTGTGGGATTTAAATCGATGGCTCATATCTAACTGATGAGTCAAAAAAAAAAGACAAAAAAAAGGCGGTGGACTAAGTGAGGTACGATACCGATGACACGGATTTTCCCTGAATCTTGAGCGCTGGTAGAGGAGGCTGTGCTGCTCCTGACTTGAGGAATGACAAACCCCGGTGTATATCAGATGTAGCGGGAAGTTTCTATATAAGCAAGAAGGCGTCCTCCCCGGACGAAGTACGGTAGCATTGGCACAGGCAACTCGTATCCCCGGTCAGCTTTGGTGTTTATGCGGCGTGTCCGGATGACTATTGGGATTTCTAGATTTTTCAGAAGTACCGGTATGCATGCTGCTGTGTCTGGGGGATATTTTGAGCCACGAGCCAGACATATGGTACGAGTACGGTATTTACAAGTATCATACCGTACTGGAAAAAGTGACTTTGTGCATCTAGCTAGCGGTGACTCTTCGTTAGTCCTACAACCTTGAGAGCCGCGAGACTATACCTATAGCTCTTCACCGCCGGCACTATACCGGTATGCTCCTGGGCTTCTTAGGCAGCAACGTTCTATACGGTGCGAGGATGTGGGAGTCTTAGGTAAGTGGTGGGTGTTACAAGTATGATACCAGTGTTGGAATGAACCGGGGGGAGGTTGCGGTGGTGATAAAAAAAGTCAATGGAGGCACCGGGGCTCAAGCTTACGAGCTCCCCTCGAAAACTAGAGGGTTCAGAAGACCTGCAAAAACATAGTGGTATGATATCATAACTTACCAGTTATTGAGACTATATTTTGTGGAGAAGAAAGCAGAAAGAAAAAAAAGAAGTCCAATTCAGAATGTATCTTCCGTCCACGCAACCATCATGATCTTGCTGTATGATAAGTTCGGGTCCAACTACCGTTATGGGGAAATGTTCTGAACCCATATAGAAAAGGCTAAGGGAGGGGCCAAGTAGTAGTTTGGTAACCCCCTTGAGCCTTCTAAGGCCTTCGTCCCAACATTAGGGGCGTTCTGGCTGGTCCCTTTCGGATATGGTAAAAACCCTGTCTTTGTTAACAAAAAGTCAAAGTCAAGGGAAGGTAGTTAATGTTTTAAAATTTATCTTCGCACCATGTATCATTTCCAAGGTCCTGGAAGAGCCCAGTATTGTGTTGTAAGGTGGAATAATGGTAGGTCAATTGTTTCAGTGCATGCCAAGCTTACACGAAGCAGCAAAGTGAGCCAGATTTTTTCTACGTTTTTGGCTTTGGACGCCACCGGTGCAGTGTTTCAGTCTCGTACTTTTCATTGGCCCGTTCAGAGATGGGCGAGTCAACCAGGAGGGAAAAAGAACAAGGATTTGAAAGAAGTACAATAAACCCAATTTTTTTCCGATACAGCAATTCCCCCCCTAGTGGATATAAACATCCCACATCCTCCAATCGAATTCTATCCTCGATAGAGCAATACACAAAAGTGAATATCACATGCACCACCACACACACAAAAGCTGAGAAAAGCAAACAGCACGTTCATCATAGAACTTGATATTACCGCTTTCGAGTTATGGGAACCGTGATAGGGAACACAAAAACGCGCTCGAAATAGCAGTTGCGATGACAAGAAAACGAGGTACCGAGCTGTAAGAGTCTTAGGAGACAGTAGTTTTTTTTGCCCCGCACTTTTCCAACACTGCATCGAAGCTAATTTCGCTGAATTCTGTTCCCTGAATCTCGGTCGGGACACCGGTGAGCGCACGGCGCAAAGCATCCTTGGAGGATGCATAAATCATTTTGTTCTAACAATTGGAATTAGCTCTCTGTCGGGGTACGTACGGGGTGGTAACAGTGATCATTTACCTTGACTTTGGCGGTATCAGGGGACCAAGCGAAGAAAATGATCTTGTTCCTATAGAGATTTAGTAACCGATTGTGTAACCAAGCATAGTTTAGGAGAGGGTGAACAGTGAGGATGACATAGATGGGTGGTAGGAATCCGCAAACGGCTGATAGCCCAGGGATAGTAAAAACCACATTGGAGAGAATAGAAATAAGAGGTTCTGAGATTCTTTAGGTGGGGAAGTTAAGCCTTACCTTGTTCCTTCGCCATTAGGAAGGTCATAGGTAAAATCGTAGATTGCGTATCTGCACTGGTCTGAGGGGAGTGATTCGATAAAGTCGTCGTATTGTGCCTCTGGTTTTTTTAGGGCATCCTTTTCGCCTCTCTTCTCTACTACGATAGATCTATTATCATCGCTGATTTTGTAGAGAACATAGGCATGCTTCTTTCCGAGCTTGAGTTCCTGGAAGTATTCAGTAACCTCCTCCGCGAGGCCGATTCTGTTTATACGTAGAGCTTAGTAAACGGGGAATTCTCTGATGGAAAAGATATTATGTGAGGAAATGATTGATGAAGAATCAAGGAGGAATAAGAAGGAATAGGGGAATCTACCCTGAACGAGACTGATAGGATAAGAGTTAGCAGCAGTAATCATAGTGGCTAGATATAGATCCGGAGCCATGGGGCACAAATAAACCTACCATTATGGGCAAGTAGGTAAGAACTTGAAGGGTTTTTTCTGTTAGAGAAAATGGTCAGCGATGCGGGGTCGGAGAGCAGGAACCAAAGAGGTGAAGAAATGAATGAAATAGTGGAAGCATTCAGGACAGTAAAAACATACCTATCTGGAGATGGAGGTGGGGTTGATAAAACTTTGGTTCTCCGGGATGTTTGTTTGGTGGGCGAGGGAGGGGGAAGTAGGTGAGTGAGAGGAAGTGAGATGCTGGAGGGGTTACGACTCCCGGCTGGCTGGCTGAGGGACATGGAATGTCAACAGATCGCATCAACACACCGCCCACTTCCTTTTCTTTGTCACCGAGTCCCCCGCACCTCGGACACAATGTTATTGTTCTTTCACTATCTTGAACCGAGTTCCTCGCATGACTTACCCGTAGGGCAGCCGTTGCGCCCCACTCGGGTGCCCTCATGCCAAGACTTTCCAGACCTTTCTCTCCATCCTGAATTTTTTTTTCTTTTCTCTTGTAACAGCGGTTCTCAGTGAACATAAATTCCGCCTTCCCCCCAGCTTTCACTCCCCCACAATTGAGTTCGTTTCGTCTGCCCTTAGAACCATTATTTTACCGGAATCCAATATTGTTCTAGCCACAATTGAATATGCAGAGAGCACTCTCTTCCGCTGCTAGGGCTCGTCCCTCTTCCTCCAATATGAGGTCCCTGGCTCTTGCTCCAACTCTTTTGTCAGGTCATCAGCAATCTCGGGCATACTCTCACAAGGTAAGTGCTCTTATGCCCATCTGATGGGCAGGTCAATTGCGTCAGTTTGATAAGTCAATAATATTGGGTGCGAGCGACGGACAACTGAAACATGGAAATTTTTGACATAGGAATTGAAATTTGGTGTTGAAGGAAGGCAATCACTGCTTGCTGGCGTGGATATGCTCGCAAAAGCTGTGGCCGTCACCTTGGGCCCTAAGGGAAGAAATGTTCTGATTGAATCACCATACGGAAGTCCTAAGATTACGAAAGGTAAATTGTAGAAGCTACTTAAAGTCATTAAGTTTAATGCTAACTTTTACCTTTTTATAGATGGCGTAACAGTAGCAAAGTATGCAAACAAACTGAGTTTATTGCTTTGAGTATGAAAAGTAATTAACGCCGTTGTAGGGCCATTACGCTGAAAGATAAATTTGAGAACTTGGGCGCTCGTTTGCTGCAGGATGTTGCGTCCAAGACGAACGAAGTTGCTGGAGACGGTACTACTACCGCTACGGTTCTTGCCCGTTCCATCTTCACCGAAACCGTCAAGAATGTTGCTGCTGGTTGCAATCCTATGGATCTCCGCCGCGGAACCCAAGCAGCTGTTGGAGCCGTTGTTGAATATCTTCAGAAGAATAAGCGAAATATCACTACCTCTGAGGAGATCGCTCAAGTCGCTACTATTTCTGCGAATGGTGACCAACATATCGGGGAACTAATTGCTCAGGCTATGGAACGGGTTGGAAAGGAGGGTGTTATTACTGTTAAAGAGGGAAAGACCATTGAGGACGAATTGGAGGTCACGGAGGGAATGAAATTCGATCGGGGATACGTTTCACCCTACTTCATTACCGACACCAAGACCCAGAAGGTTGAGTGCGAAAGGCCTTTAATCCTTCTAAGCGAGAAGAAGATCTCTGCTGTTCAAGACATTATCCCCGCCCTAGAGGTTTCTACCTCTATGCGTCGACCTCTCGTTATCATCGCCGAAGATATAGAGGGCGAAGCTCTTGCCGTGTGTATCCTCAACAAGCTCCGTGGTCAACTCCAGGTTGCTGCTATCAAGGCACCCGGTTTCGGCGACAACCGCAAGTCTATCCTTGGGGATATTGGTGTTCTGACTAATGCAGTCGTTTTCTCTGATGAGTTGGGTGTCAAACTTGAGAAGCTTACTCCTGATATGCTTGGTAGCACCGGCTCGATCACCATTACCAAGGAAGATACTATCATTCTCAATGGTGAAGGTTCCAAGGATGGTATTGCGCAGCGTTGTGAGCAAATCCGTGTTGCGATGAACGACTCCACTACTTCTGAGTATGAAAAGGAGAAGCTCCAGGAGCGCCTTGCGAAGCTTTCAGGTGGCGTCGCCGTTATCAAGGTTGGTGGAGCCTCGGAGGTTGAGGTTGGAGAGAAGAAGGACCGGTTCGTCGACGCTCTCAATGCTACTCGAGCCGCCGTTGAGGAAGGGATTCTTCCTGGAGGTGGTACTGCCCTGCTGAAGGCATCCACAAACGCCTTGGGCAATATCAAGGTTGGCAACTTTGACCAACAGCTCGGTCTCTCAATTGTCAAGTCAGCGATCACCCGCCCTGCACGCACCATCGTTGAGAACGCAGGAGGTGAGGGATCTGTGATTGTTGGGAAACTTATTGAAGAGTATGGTGGTGACTTCAACATGGGTTACGATGCCTCCAAGGGCAAATATGTCAACATGATCGAGTCTGGTATTGTGGACCCATTGAAGGTTGTCAGGACCGCTCTTAGTGATGCTTCCGGTGTTGCCAGTCTTCTTGGCACTACCGAATGCACAATCGTCGATGCTCCGGAGGAGAAGGGCCCCCCAGGTGGGGGCATGGGAGGCGGTATGGGAGGTATGGGTGGTATGGGCGGAATGGGCGGTTTCTAGATGTGAAGAAGCATCGAGAGTACTGAAGTGCAGTCTTAAAAACTAATGCATAGCTACGCATCATTGAGTAGATGCTTTATCCCCTTCCCTATTTTTCTTCATATCCGGCCTCGGGCCTCTTCTGGGATTATGCTCTCTCCACTCACTTTTACTTTTTTTGCCGTGCCAACTGAAAAGCATTTATCTTTGTCTATTTTCTTCCTTTCGTTCCATGTATATCCTTACTCCCGGGGTGCTGCGCAAGTGGTGTTGTATATACGGGCAAGCATATGGAATAAAACCGAACACCTAGAACAATGGCTGCCGTTACTCTCGTTTAATATCTAGGGCGGAAGACAGTTCAGTCGCTTGCGGCGTCGAGAGTGGCCAATTGGGAGTATTCGTAGAATGTCCATACAGCATGCGGATGGGTACTGTTCATGGAACAGTAAGACACGCAGACTGTAGAGGTTGAAATCTGGGGGGTTAAAATCACTCAGGAATAAATTCTGGTCCTTCATGTTCCTCCGGGGGCCCCGGTACTGCTCACTATTCACCTTTTCTCTTGGGGAGAGATGTTTGCTTCATTTGCCTACCCGGACGGTTGGGCACTCTAATTGCCCTTCTGATGGGTGGCGTACTGCGGCCGGAAATACCCACCAGTCCCAAAAGCACCCGAAAATCTCAGTGTTTCCCAGGCCCAGATCGTTCCGAGACTTCCTGATACTTTAGAGAAGGGGGAGTAGGTCTGGTGACAATTAGGTCCTCGTTAGATCTACTACTTGAAGGACTCGAAGATCCTGACGCAGTCGTGAAAATAATGCTCAGGCATGCACCGTGCCCAGGGGACAATTTGAAAAAAAAGAGGGAGGAAAGCCATAGAAATACGACGGTAGGAATAATACAGGTTCTTTCGATATAATTCCGGCACTTTTATTATAAGGGGTATCCCAGGATGTTATTGGGATAATCGAGGTATTGTACCAGTTTTTCTTCCCTTCTCGCCACATTACCCCATAGGCCGGGTGTCTTACTCCAATTGCACCCGGAGGGTTAGAATACCGGTACTCATGGAAAGGGTATTCGACGGCTTTCAGCTATCTATTCGTAATCCGTGATCACTGATGTCGTTGCTGGGATGGCTTCACTCGGTCAGTATAGAACTAGCACGCACCTGCTAAGGAATCCCCTCAGTCGTGAACACGTCTCTGGGGGGGATTTTTTTTTTATTTTTTCCCCCCACTTAGTGGATATTGGCTGCTTATGTTCAATGAGCTTTCTTCGTCCTCTGCATAAAGTTATCGCGTGTTAGGATCCTTAGTTGAGTCTTGTTGAATACTTTGGTTTAGGGGTGCTAAAGTACTGGTGGCAATAAAGTTAGGGTGGATTGGTTGGGGTCTGCGGGACACACACGAAGATGGCCTGCGTGGTCTCATGATACGACCAATTGCGTTGACGACTTTCGTGATGCCGACGGGAGGTTTCTGTCCTGTGTTGTATATGTGTAGGCCCCTCTGTACAATAATAACGGCAAAGGAAGGAAGGAAGACTCCACTCAACACCTCACCTCGGTAGTCTCCCACAGTATGATACGATACTGTCTTGGAGGCGAAGGAATAGTGCCCACCCCTCTAGCTTTTCTTGATAGAGGGTTTAGCCCCAAAGATTCACATAGTCTAGTCAAGCGCTAGGCTATGGTTCCATAAAACACGAAAGTTATCTCTGTAGGGAATGCGGAGGTCCACGACAAGATCGTCAATTCGTACCACTCAAGTATGACATACTGTAGTCTGTTCTTGCATAGTAACAAGGGGGGGCTAGCTTCATGTTTCTGTCTCGGAATTTTATGTTGGGAATTCCATGCTGCTAGAGTCCCAACGGCTACCCCGCCCTTAAAGAATTTGGTATAGAAATAGAAAAGGAAGATATTCGATGGTAGTTCGCTGTCATGACAATTTTCTGGCTTGTCTGACTACCCTTTTACGACAGAAGAAATCCCTTCATGTTGCCTACCTGTACTGTGCCAACCTCCCCCATAATCACCAATCTTCCTTTCAAGCTATTCCTCCGCTCATGCCATTCTCATCAATCCTCATACATTCTTAACTCCACACATTTGCCACATATTAGGATAGCTGGGCGTTCAAACTAGAAAGAAATGAAAGACGGAAAAAACAATGCGTCAATTCCAACACCCCTCATATTAGACTACCAGAGGTTTGAGGACGGATTTCGTTGTGGTTGTTTCCGGTAGCTAGGGCACCCCTGCTCGTGCAAGTAATCGAGGATCTGAATCTTGGGGGCGATATGGAATACCTGAGGGCGTATCCTTTCCTTTGTCGCCGAGCTCGTATCGAATCAGTGTGATACCATTGTACTGTACTCTAGTCCCTGTGCTAAATTAGCAGGTCCCCACTCGAGGCACTGAGAGCGAGCATTTTCTCCCGCAGGGTCTTCCAAGAACACGAATGAAAACGGGAGAAGCTTCAGGTTCGTGCTACCCAGTATAAGTTTCGCAGTTGTCGATACCCTTGTCAGAGGTATTCATTCGTATTGAAGCCAATGGGGTCATGTAGTGAGTTTGGGTATTACACTTAAGCTAGAAAACGAGCACCTTTAGTTCAGTGGACTGCACTGTGCATCCTTCTTCGGAATTGTTGAAGTTGGGCTACTTTTATAGATAGGATAGGTTGTAATATCAACCATGGGGATTTGACGGGAAAGCTGGTATGGGCTTCCCGGGACGGGCGTGAAGTAGCTATGAAGCTACTACTAGAACAGGGGGATACTAGCCCCGATAGTCCCGACAACGCCGGAGAGGCCATGAGGGAGTAGTTAAGAACCCATTGAGACGGGAGGATGCCAACCGCGACATTTCAGACAAATGCTTCCGTCAAAAACCACTCTCGTGCACCGCTAAGTGTAGCAATGGGGAAGTAGTGAAAGAGCTCTACTGAGACGGGGAGATGTGGACACCCGACAAACTAGACGTGGAAGTCCGAACACCACTCTCTTGGGCTGTTCAAAATGGAAGCGAGGTGGTAAAGTAGCTACTGGAACCGGAGGGTGTCGACAAGCCAGACGAAGAAGGCCCAGCTCCGCTCCTGTGGGCTGCTCGAAAAGGCATTGCGGCAATAGCGAAGTTGCTGCTCGGTCGGGTGGATGTCAGCCCCAATAATACAGACAGAAGTGACAAAACAGGACTTCCGTGGGCTGCCAGAAACGGCCCCGTGGAAGGAGTAAAGTCGCTATTGAAAAGGGAAGCTATCACTCCGACAAGCCAGACAAACAAGGCTTGACAGAATTCGCATGGGTTACCATAGAGAAGCACAACGAAGTGCTAGACCTGCTACACTACACCTACACACCAACCATACCCAACCATACATATCAGCACGACTCCAAAACCGCCCGACTCTACATACTGTTCGGTATGATTCCTGTCAAATAAAGCCGACATTGCTAAGCGACCCGGCTTAAGTACGATAGCCTACACAGCCCAGACAGCTTATCCAATGCACGAGATATGGTGAGGGTGGGGGTTGGGGGATATGATGAAGTATAAATTAGGGGTTGCACCGACATCATACTATCGTTATCCCTGGGGGCGCGCCTTTACGGGCGGACAGGAATGGCCTGTCACTTGTACCTCTATACCCCTCTTACTCTCTTCCTTTCTCTCTTTTGTTTTCTCTTCCCCACTCTTTCCTCATGGGGGTTGCTATTCCCGCGAGTGAGGATCTATGAATCTATTTTCGCTTTTTGGCATTACCAAGATATGGGGGGGGGGGGGGGTATAGTACGATGTCATGATATCCAGTGGGAAGTTTTAACTCACAGTGTGATCTCCTATACTAGTAGTACCTGTAACAGCCCAGGCGTTGTTTATTTCAACTAATTAGATTTACAAGTTCCCCGGTTTACCCAACTTTTCCTGTTTCTTACAACTCCCTCCTTTTTTTTTTTCCATAGGTGATAGACCACTACCGTACTGCACGGTTGGCTGGGGGGAGGGGGGGGGGGGATCTATGATAATAATGTTGTAATAGTCGTGTATGATATGATATCCGGTGTTATTTGGCTCTAATTGTTAGAGAGAGCTTAGGGTGTGATGTCCATGGGTTGGCATATTCTCGGTATGGGCGCGGTCTCTCGCGGTTGTGACTTAGACTATCCTGAGACGGTTCTTTAATCTGCGATGCCGCTTCCTCCCTCCGATCGAGAGGTCTCGCATATGACACCACATATACCGCTTGTGTCCTTCGTTAGGGACAATCACAACACGGGCGAATAGTGCGCTCTACTTAAGCCAAGTAACTAAGAGAGTGTCTGATTGCCATGCCGAACCTTCATTTTTACCCCGATTAGGTTTGTGTCAAAACTCTAATTTGCTGTGGAGTGAGGAGTAGCATGTCTGGTTGACACTAAAACTCAATGATCAAAATGTGGTATGATAGAATCAATATTTCACGGAATCACATTGTGAAAAGCACTTCAACAAGTACAGTACACAGAACAAAAAATCTAAAATTAAAAAAATAGATCTCAAAACCCAGATGCCAAGACTTTCTTTTTAATATTTCTGATAGTATTATTTTATTTGAGTGAAGTTTACTAGATTGGTCCTCCCAATTCATACAGTGTGGTCCCAGAAGAAGCATATTCCTTGGCTTTCACCTGTGCCGACCTGACCCACCATGGATACTGCCATTTGCACAGATTATACGAACTTGGGATAACTACAGTTGCAGGTTGCGACTTGTGTTTTACGATTTTAGTACTTTCCGGAACCAAGGGCTACTAGACGCGTCTTAAAACCCCAATTATAGTACTATACAAGTGCGAAACACTATAATACAAACTAGCAAATAGTACCCCGTATACAAGAGAGAAAGGAAAGAGGAAAAGACAAGGGAATAAAATAAAATCCAGCACACTATACTCAAACCGTACTATAATACCACCTCCTCACGAACATTCATCGCCCCCATCATCAATACTCCTAACCCCTCCCTCAAACACCTCAATCCCAACCTCCTCCCCAGCCAACACTCTATTGGAGTAAACAACCCTCAAGCCCCTCCTCCGCTCCCCAGTCTCTGAATCCTCGCTCTTGCGAATGACAACTCTCGTAGCCAACAAATTCGCCCACACGAGTCCCAAAGCCGGGACCTTCCCACCGCCTTCCAGCCCCTCATCGCACCCCGTAAACCACCTTGACTGAAAGTCCAAGCTCATCACATCGTCGTCGTCATCATCCTCGTCCCGTACCGACGACGATGGCAACGGGGTGCGGGCGTTAGCAGAAGGTGTGAATTTATCCGAAACCTGGTTCGAAACTACGACGGCTAGATTGTGGGTTATGGCTAGGTGTCTCAAGGTCGCTGCTAGTTTCACCATGTCTTTCCCTCGCCGTGCCATTTGACTGCCGTGCCGGGCACCCGCATTGGAGGCTGCCGTTGAGGATGATGATGGTGATGAAGAAGGCGTAGAAGTGTTACTCGATCTCAGCTTCTTGCTCCTGTCCATCGGCCGCTCGAATTCCGACCTAAAGTTCGCCGCTATGGAGTCGATTACTATCAAACCCAGATTGAACTTCTGTACGAGTACCGGGAGCTGGTAGCGGATGATATGCTCCTGAGTTTCCAAATCCGAGCAGACGATGGAAAAGACCTTATCCGTCGTGGGCTGTTCGCTCACGGGCAAGTCACGGGAAATGTAATTTTTCAGCTGGATCAGACGTGGGGTGGAGAGTGGGGCTTCGGTGGAGATGTAGACCGCTGGCCTACCAAGACCGCCGTGGGATGGGGGCAGTTGCACGGTGAGGGTCAAGAGGAGGAGGATTTGTGTTTTCCCGGACCCGCTTTCGCCGACGAATTCGGTGATGGCTTGCGTTGGGATCTTGTTCAGGAGCCTGTCCAGCGTTGGCGAGCGGGTTGTTATCGTACGGGGCGGGGGAAGCGAGGATAGCCGTGCAATGTCGGCGTGGATGTGCTCTACTAGGGCCCTCTGCAGGCTTTTGAGCTCTAGAAGTGAGGTGTTTAGTTGGGGTGGGAGACGGCGGGAAATTGGTATTGGGTCGAGGACTAGCAGATCTGCGGTAGTTAATCTGGCGTCTTCAATGAAGTTGAGGAGGTTTGATACCGGAGGAGTGAGGGGGAATGTGGGGAAGAGGGTTAGGAGATCGGACATTGTTATTATCGCCGTCGAAGTGCGGTGGGGAGAGTGGACAGATAGACTATTGCGGAGAATATGAACGGAGGAAGAGATTGTTTGTTAGTGACTTTACATACTCGAGGCTCCGTAAAGCGAAGCCCGACCTTAACCGATTCTGAAGCCTGGGAGACGCGCTGCGCGTTTTGGCAGGTGCGCGTTGCGTCATTATAATACAAGTGGTCACGCTGACTCACTTTCAGAGCCTGGAGGCGAGGGTCTTTTCCGGGCAAACAGCTTCCCCTCCTAACTTACCAGCGAGGCAATAAGAATCTTTTCAAGTCCCTTTCACCACCACCACCATCACCACCATCACCTCACACTTCCTCCAACCTCCCTCAATACGGGGAGACATCACCGCAATGCCGAAAGCACCCTCCACCCGCCGAAACCGCACCACTCGCCCACCCCCCCGCAAACCAACCTCCTCCAGTAAACCCCCTCCTCGCCCCAGAAAGAAGCGCACAATCTACAACCCGAACAGACACTCCCTCGCCTCCCTCCCCTACCACATCCTAACCACAATCCTCCGCTACGCTGCTTCAACACCCGACTCTCCATTCCCAAACACAGCGCTCCTACTTAAAACCCTAACCCTCTGCCGCACACTCTACGAACCGACACTCGCAGTTCTGTACCATACCCCTCCGACGAATACACTTCCCTATGCCCATCGCTTATTGCATGCACTACGGGAGCAGGCGCACGTTCGGCCTCTTGTTAAAGCTCTCATAGTTAACACCGAACCACTGTTGCTAACTCGTGCAGCGCCATGGGGAGCTTGGGATATCTGCGAGTTCCTAAGTCTCGCAAGCGGGGTGCGCAAGGTGGATATTCGCCCCACGAGGGTATCTGGTGCGAGGGGTTTCAGGATGGAGAGGAATTGGCAGTACCCGAGTGAGCTATGGAAAGCCTTTGATGAGGCCGGAGTGCTATTGCATGAGTGGACGTGGCGCGGGGAATTCATGGAACAGATTGATCTCGATGAATTCAAGAGGGTGCATTCCCTCCGGCCCTTCTTGGGGCTGCGGAGTGTGGGACTGGTCGGGATTGAGAGCAACGATGAAGGTGCAACGGTGGGGGATCTGTCGAGGGAGAAAGGCTGTGCAGAGGTATTGGCACAACTAGGGGCGTTGAAGGTGGTGGTGTTTGAAGATTGTTCCGTCGTCAATGAACACCTCTTCTCAGAGTTTACCACCAGAGCGCCAGGGGCCAGATTGATGAAGCTATCATTCATGGGTTGCCCCCGCCTCACCTCATCGGAAGACAACCTCCCCTCCCTCCTCCAATCCTCCCTATGCAGCACAACTCTCACATCCCTAACCATCACCAACTCCCCATCCTGCAACCTCTCCTTCACCCTCTCCCTCCCTCCTTCCCTCCAAACTCTCTCCTACACCGCCTCACTAACGCCCCCCCCCTCAATCCTCCCTACCCCACCCACCCCTGCCCAGTGGCCACAGAACTTAGCTTCCCTCACCCTAAACCGCATAAAATTCACCTCCCAGACACCCTGCTCCGCCCTCCTCTCCTCCCTCATATCCGCTGCCCCGCGATTATCTGCTATGCACGACATAACCATTTGGTGCATCCTGGACATCGACTGGCGGGCCCGCGGCGCCTTTCGTGAGATCTGGGAGCCCAGGGTTAAGTCTGCCTTTCAAAGGTGCTGGACCGGAGGTGGCGGTGGCGAGGTGAGGTTCGACAACTTGAGGCCGGCCGAGCGAATATTTTCCGAGAGGGACTTTTTGGACTTTGGGAATGAGACGGGCGGTGGTGGAGGCGGTGGTAGGAGGAGGGCCAGAGTTGGTGGTGGTGGTAGTGGTAGGCGAGGAGGGAGGAGAGGTGGCGCAGTGGGGATACTGGGCGTTAGGAGAGCGACCGAAAGTGATGATGAGGATTATAGGGACTAGTAGTCAAGCTGGGTTGCTCATGGGATGTCACTCGGGGGTTGGTTTGATCATTTTCCTATGCCATAGAGGGATGGGAACGCTGGGTCCGATTGGGAGAAGGAAAATCCTTTGTATTATATCCAGATATCTTGCTTTAGCTAGATTAATAATTCATGGAACAACGATTTGTTGAAAACTTGCGGCACTTGTCCGTGCCCTATCGAGACCAAAATCCCACATGGCGGTTAGCATCATCAGGGCCACCTAGGTTCGGATTCTCCAAAGTCGCCTTCGTAACTCGAATATTACGCTCAAACACCCCCACCAAAATCACCAAGCCCCAACTCGCTGCACGGGCATCAAACGAATCAATTATCATAACACATGCCAACGACAATCCCAACCATATCTATTCCCTATCCCTATTACAGAGGCAGAAGAGGAAAGAAACAGCAACAACAACAACCTTCAACCAACGAACCAATCAATCAATCTCAATAACCTCCGGACCCTTTCCCTTTCCCTTTCCGGCCTCATCGCCCTTCCTCTTCCTCCCACCCGCGTTACCGCCCCTTAGCGTCTGTCCCGACCCCGAAAACACGCTCGCCTTCTTCTCACCTTCCCCGCCATCCTTCTTCTTCACAGGCTTGATCTCGTACCCAAAGAATAGCTGTCCGGGCGGGAGGCGGAGTGGTTGCGGGCCTGTTCCTCTCCTAACAGTTGGGGCGGGGATCACCGGTGGGGGAGGATTTGAGGATACGCCCGCAACGGGGGTGCTAGGTTTCTCCTTTGGAGTACCAGTTTTCGAGCCCTTGAGCCTTTGGCCGCCGCCTCCTGTGAAGAAGGATTGTTTTGCTCCGGAGGTGGCGGTGGTGGAGGTAGTGCTTGATGGGGCTATAGCTGCGTAGTTTATACTCTTAGCCATGCTGCCGGTTTCGCCCAATGGAGTTACGTGTCTTCCCCCAACCACGCTTCCGGGTCTTGATGACTGCGGGGGCCTGCTGGGCTCGACGTACCCAACCGGGGGAGCGAAGTCGACGGATATATCAGTCTCGATGGTTGTTATGGCGCTCATTTTGGTCTCTGGCTTGACCTCCAATACAGCAATTTCGAAGACCTCGTCGTTGTAGAAGAAGGAGAATATATCGCCGACCGTAAGCGCGGAGAAGGTTCTCAGGGCGTTCTCAAGAACGGCTTTGGGATCCGTGATGGACGTTATGAAGGCCACCGACTGGGGTTGGAGTTTTATGAATGTCCCCGCCGGGAGATCGGTGGATTTGATTTGTAAAAGCTCGCCGGGTTCTAGAAGGAGGGTTTGCATCATCTACTCATTCTCTCACATTAGTCGCTTCCAGAAAGACAGGTAGAAAAAGAAGAAAGATAGTGGACAAGTACCCAATGTGGCAAGTAAACCCTCCCCTCCTCCGCAATAAACTCCAACACACCCGCATGAGTGACCTTATCCTTCGACCCGTTCCTCAGCTCGAACAGCATGGGGTAGGCGATATGCAGCCGCGACAACTTATCCAGGGCGGACGGCGGCATGATGACTTTCCCACCGTAGTTCAACTCTGCACGCTCTGCCCCCGGCATCATGACGACGGGGTAACAGCGGAGAAATTCGTCGAAACGCCGGTTGCGTGAGTGGTAGCTGGGGACCATATCTTCATCGTCGTAGAAATTTCCGCCCAACTGTTTGTGGTGTAGGATGATTGCTGGGTCAGCTTGAGCCCGGACGATCCAAAAGTTTGCTCATATGTTTGTAGGGCGGTGTGGTAGGTGCAGGTTGGGGGAAGGGGATGATAAAAAGGAGAGGAGAGGGCAATATAACTACTTACCATGTTCAAAGATAGTCGATGGTTGGGGGTGGTGATGCCAATAACGAGTTTAGCTTGGAGCTTCAGAGGGTGCGTTGTAGAAGTTGTTAAGTTAGAGGTACAGCAGACTAGGTGGTTGCCTAGTGGGATGTGAAAGAGGGTCCTTGACGTCAGCTTGGCACGTGACTAGACCCAGCACCCTGTCACTGTGTCATCCAGAATCACTCGAACTTCAGACCAACCCAGGATTTCACGGGAAGACTTCCACATACAGTCGCACCCCGTTGTCCCGGACGGCTAAAATCCTGAGAACCCGTCCGGGACAGCGAAGAATCCGGGAGAGCGAGGTCCGAGACAACGGGGTTCGACTGTAACTTATGACAGGCCGCAGCGGGAAGCCCGCCTTGCCGTGGAAGCCAAAAACACAAAAAGAAGGCGGAGTCGGGGACATAGCCCTACCGCGTGCTGTTCCTATGATATACTATATAACGGACGGCAGCATGGGAGTGGCAGCCTCAACGCGGGAATAGAACGGTAACTTACGGCACCAAAGCCCAGTTCCCAAGTTGATTCCGAACCAATACAGCACCGGAAGTCAAAGCGGCCCCCCAGCAGTGGTAATAGTGGTGAATTTACCTATCATACAACTCTCTAAACACCTATGTACAGTACCGCCATAGGAGTCTATATCGTACAGTGCTCTGAAAACAAATGAATTGTGCCTCCGACCCAACTATCATACCCGAGAGGAATTACCCCATCCATATGCCAACTATAAGCGAAGGGGAGAAGAGAGAAAATTTTACCAAGAGATCTGTGAGGCCTCAAGCGTGTCTAAGTCATCCCTATGACCGGCCAGAAATGCAGCTGGCGGGCCCGGGGAAAGCGGTAGGAGCGCAAGCAAGCATCATAAGGAAGGAGAATTTTCATGTAAAACGCTTAGGGGGGGGATGCAGAATAGTACAGTTAGCAGAAAGGGGGGGGGGAACAGTGCGTGTATAGCGAGTGCTCATGGAAGAGCAAACGCTGACGCTCGAAGTCTCGGGAGTGGGAGGCCTTGCTACGATAGCACATTCTGTAACCGGAAAACCAGAAGAGCACATAATCCATCACCACGCTCGATATGTCGAAACATTCCCTACATACATACATACACCCGAACAGAAAGTACAAGTATACAGTGAGAGCTCCACCGGGCTCCTTTTTCTCGATCCACTAGGTTTCACCGAGCCAATAGCTTAGCCATATCCTGTCCTGTCCTACGGGGTACGATATACAGAGTGGGTTCCGGAAGAACCAACTTTCAGACAAAGAATGTGACGATCTTATATTTCTCCAGTCAGCAAATGCAACCCTGACCGAAACCCGCCAGTGGCCATACTATCAGCCATTTTAAAAATTGTTTTTTTTTTAGAATCCTCGCTCTTCAATTTTTGTGATTACAGGTTTTTTTTATTTTTTAGAATTAATACTGATGAGTTGTAATAGTGGTTGAGCTACAGATTCGCAATTGTCGAACTTAATCCACGAAGCCGGGATATCATCATACTCGTAGTAGAGGTATGATATACTCAGATGCCAAATAATGGAATTGAAGATACCGCACCATACATATTACTAAATGGATGAAAAATATATATATATAGCTATCATACCCAGATAGTATCCACAAGAACAACAAAACATAGGTTTGAGTTTTTTTAGTTTTTTTTTTAAAAAAAAAAAGTCTGTGTATGATATAATATTATACGAGGTATTCATTAATTATATGCATAAATCACCAAGATTCAGGTTTCCTTACATTTGTCCACAGCTGCGGTGATTATTTCACTTCACAATAGATTACTACTCATGGTGATATTACTATTTAATGAAATAATTAAATTTACCATGGTGCACCAAAAACACTACACTTGTATTTCCTTTATTGATGGATTTCACCCACCCTTCTGAATGCTGTGAGAACACTTAGGCCATACTGTAATTTTTTTAGTCGGGTGACACGGTTGCCGCTGCAGGAAAAATTGTCGCACATTTTTGTCTGCGAGTTGGTTCTGAGTTTAATCTTCCGGAACCTTAACTTTAGTTCATAATTATCATCCCAGAATACACAAGCATTGAGCCCCACTACCGGGTACTCGAGTACGGTACAGTACAGGGAACTGACAAACTTGATAATGTGACGCCAGACTACCCCATTTGGTCTCGGTCTAATACCAATATTGCAAAACAAATGTTTAGCGTAATACAGGGTAAAGAAATTCGACAGCACATATCACTATTACAGGGGAGAATGTGGTACCATAGTCATGACACCGCAAGCCAAAGTACTCAATAGCTATTCCACTACCCGCAATTGGCTGTAGTTAAGGTGCAATCCATCAGGAAAAATTGCACCAATTCATCATAAAAGGGCGAATGCAGTCCTACAACTACAAAACTATCCCTCACTTCACTACCAAACTCCATCATTGGACGTAATAGATTTATGCAGTAGACTTAGAAAAACATTCTCTACGCGAGTAACACACCCTCTATCGCTCCCATCCCTGCCTGCTCCGATCTGCCCCAACCACTTCCCACCCAACCCACAACGAAGGGCGGGTAAAAACTGCTGAAAACCAAATAGACATAAACGACCCTAAAACTCTGCTTTCTAGCCCGTTGGTGTTCCAGCACGTCCGCCGAGGGTATTCACCAAACCCCTATAGTCTAGCCAGAATGCCTTTCTTGGTCTTCTTGAATCCCAATCGGTTTCAACCCCGCGAAGATCTTCAACTGAAGTAAACACAATACTTGCTCCCCTAACACCAATGACTGCGCTCGTGCTTGGGTCTTCAAAAACCTCTTTGGGAGGCTTCTTATTCAACTCAAGAAATTGAATGCACTTAACGGCCATTCTTACCGCCCGGACACGATCCATAGGAGACGGAGTGCCACCTTGCTGGACGTGCCCAGGAATAGCAGTACGGGATTCAAACCGACCACTTGCTTCCTCGCGGATGATTTCAGCAATGATTTCGGTGGTGTAGGTCTTGGAGGCTTTCTCGTTCCTATGAAATATTTAGTAGTTCGCACTGTGTAGATTCTTGCAGCAAACAAACCTCAGAATTAATTTCCCTGCCCTATTCATTCCTTTATCGTTCGCAAAACTCTCTCGGAGATGATCAATATCATTCTTCAACATATTGAGATTTATACCCTCTTCGGGTGTGTATACAGCCAGGGCGCCAACTGAGAGTCCAGCCATAGTAGCCACATAACCAGACCTTCCCCCTTGACATTCCACGACAAATACCCTTCTTCTACTAGCACTTGCACTCTGTTTGATAGCATCGCAGTACTCAATAAGTGCGTTCAAGCAAGTATCGCTCCCAATTGAAAACTCCGTTCCAGGAACGTTGTTGCTAATTGTAGCTGGCAGACAAATCATAGGAATTCTGAACGCGGGGTAACTATCTCTAGCGCTATGGAGCTCAGTGAGCGCATGGTATGCTTCAAAGCCACCAATAATGAGGAGACCGTCAAATTTGTATCGCTGGAAGTACCATGCAACCATTCCCATGTCTTCGGATGGCAGAGAGCGATTAGTTCCGATCTCAGAGCCGCCACGAATGGCCCAGCCCTCCACTGTAAGCCAGTTCAACTCCCGAACAGAGTCGTGGCGAACCAGACCGGGGAATCCGTTGTGTATAGCGAATGGGCGATGTCCTCTATTAAGACAAAAAGTAGCTGCCGCACGTGTAGCTGCGTTCATCCCTCCTGCCGGGGCTCCAACATGAATGATCGCAATTCTCATCCTCTGCTTTTTGTCAGCAAGTGGAAAAAAAAAAGAAGAAAAAATCCACAAGTGGTTTGGGATCATCCGACCTTGTCTTCAGGCGCTTTCTCGGACAGCTCATCTGGCTTTGTCGTCGCCATATACGCCCGATGGTATTCTTCAAATTCCGGGTCTCTCAGATCCATGGCCCCTGCAAAATCTTTGTTTTTTATGCATTCCGCCACAGCCTTGGTCTAAATCAACAAACATTAGCAGTTACCATCAAGTAGAGGATAATTTGAATTTACCAGTCGAACAGCATCCATTAGAGGCTTTCGGGTAATCTTGTTTTCGTTGATCGCAATCATCGGACTTGGAATGTCTGGAGTAGACTCTAATACAGCTTTAACGGCCTCCTCACCTTGTAGCGTAGCAAGAATCCTGTCGAATGCACAGGCAGTTCCGCCACGCTGTACGTGACCGAGGGTTGTGATTCTAGTGTCCAATCTCAGTTCATCCACGAGGATATCTCGGACATAAGTCGCTGTAATTGGTTTCAACTCTCTATCAATTGCACCTTCGGCGACAATGACGATGGTCTTGCGTTTTCCTGCCGCACGATGCTGATATCACTCAGTAAATGCAATTCAAACTATGGGCGGGTGGGTGGATGGGTTTGGGTCTACCGTCTTAATAATACGACACATCTCCTTTTCCCATTTATCTTGGGGTGGCTTTTCCGGCAGGAAAACAAAATCGGCACCGGTGCTCAACCCGGCCATTAACGCCAGCCAGCCACAATGCCTTCCCATAACCTCAACAACGAAAGCCCGAGAGTGACTGTAGGCCGTAGCATCAATGAAATCCACCGCCTGGCAAATTCTCGTAAGAGAACTATAAGCGCCAATGGTCGCGTCTGTAGAAGACATGTCGTTATCGATACTTCCTACCAAACCAACAATGTTGAGGGTCTTGAAAGATGAGCACTGATCCTCAGAGATCTCCCCCAGCTTGGTCAATTCTGCCAATAACCCAGGCCACTCGCTACGAAAGATATCAGCTCCAGTCAGAGAACCATCACCACCGCATACGACGAGAGCATCGATTCCGGCCAAGACCAAATGCTTTGCCCCTCGTAACCTCCCTGTACGCTCCGTGAACGCCTTGCACCTAGCTGTCCCGATCAAGGTCCCACCCTCGGAGAGCCAACCTCGGACATCCTCCCAATGCATTCTCTTAATAAACTTCCCCCCCTGCACCAATCCCTCGTATCCCTCATAGATTGCGTAGGCCTCACATCCTTGCGCAATGCTCATCCTGACCACTGCTCTAACAGCTGCATTCATCCCTGGTGCGTCACCACCACTAGTCATGACAGCAATTCGCTTTTTCAACCTACCAGGGGTACTGGGTCTCGTCTGGTCTCGAACCTTCGATTCCCTTGGAACGCCCAGTCCACGTCCGGGACCGACTCTAGTAAACGGATTCGCTTTAGAAGTAAAACCGACCAGTGTTCCTAATGGGTCATGGGTGTACACTTCGGAGGGCTCCGTCTCGTTGGGTTGGGGCTGGAAGGTAATCCTCTTCTCCGAAAGAAGCTTGATTACCCTGTCCAGGGCTGGAGTGTACAAGATGACACTCATCGACTTTCCCCTCCAGTCATACGATTCCTTGCTGTTTGGGGGAAGGGGGAGAGGAATTACTGACTGTCTTCGAGATCCGTCATGGCTGTCTTTAAAATGAACGGCTTCCGCTACGTAGCGGATCTTGAGATTGACATCTGTGCCGTCGCCGGCCTCTCCCTGAGAGTATAACCACGTCTCCTTCTCGGAGGCGCGGCAATGATCATCCTCGCGTTTAACCGTGGGATGAGTCCGATCGTATACGAAAGCCTCGTCGAAGCCAAGGTCGGTGTAAAAAGCGACAGTAGTATAAAAAAGCTCTTCTGTAGGAGCAACCAAAGAAACGGAAGAAACTCCACTAGTAACGGGGTCATATGGGTCAGCGATTTCCATAGCTTTACTAGAGGAATGGACCCGGGGGCTGCCTATTTGGCTGAGCGGAAAACGGAGGTAATCTAGGAGGAGGAGGAGGATTCTTCGATTGGCGTACAGAAGAGAAACAAGAGAATTACCTAACAAAGTAGTGAAGATTTTTTTGATCGGGAGTAGGATTCGCCATTGACTTATGGGGTCCGCAGGACACAGGACGTTTAGTGGTAATCAAAGTTAGCGTATCTAATGGTGACGGCAATGGTGATGGTAATGATGGCTAATGATGATGATGACGGTGATGATGGTAATGATGATAATGATGCACGAAAGGGTAATATAGTAGAGGGGGGAGGGTAGAGCGCTTTGGACACACAGAGAGATGGGAAACAAACAAACCCACAGTGGAGGTGGGAGAGGGGGAAGAGGAACGAGTGGAGATAAGTAGGGGAAAAAGAAATTCTACATGCGGTTGACTGGTTTGCCCGGCCTGCTCGAGTAGATGCCCATCATGGTGGGATGTTTCGTGGGGCCGGTTCCGGTCACCACCATACAAAGAGTGGAGCAGGGTAGACTAGACTATCCACCCATCCTATCATGTCTTCTCACGCCATCTCCACCAGCCATCATGAGTTTTACTCGCGAAATAACTATGGGTAAAAAAGTGAGAGGAAGAAAAAGGAGGAAGAAAAAAGAAAGAAAAAAGCCTAGCCGAACGACACCTGCCAAAAACTACTCGAGGGGTTGACCGATAAGAATTTCGCTGGTGACCCCACTATTAGATAATGCCAGCACCGTAATCCCAGCAACTGACGGTGGGGCGACCCGGATCGTAATCGGAGGATCGCAGACCCCGGGTAGCAGACTGGCCGGGCCCGAGCAGTATGATATCCCTTTTGCACTCGAGTAGGGTAGTAGTTACACGAGCCTCGAACAGTGCCCTGTGAGGTCACACCAGGGCAATTATATCCAATCTAGCCATGCGCGCAGACATCACGTTATGGTCGTTCGATAACTGAAGAATCGAACTGCCGGTTGCCTTTGCCCTACGATTCACAGAATGAGCAGAACAGTCCGAGCACTCCAGCACAGCGCCGGGGCACAAATCTATTACTACGAACATCATCTCACAATTTTACCACAATACCCCTGCCTACCTACCGTACCCATCTAATGGTATCTCAAGCTAAGCCGGCTCGATGCTAAATTTATCCAGCAAGCTGGTAATTGAATGCCAGAACGTGACTAAACAAATAAATAAGCAGCGAGCCGTCAAGCAAATAAAGAAGAAAGTGAGAAACAGAAACGGAGATGAAAATGAAAGGAGGAAAAAAAAAAATGAAAAGAAAAACAGGACACCCATGATATACCCGGATGGAAAGAATACCCTAATGATAAAACGATGAAGACGATGAAGACGAGGCACAAAAGGAAAAGCGACAAGAATATCCCCACCCTCTCACAAGAACCGATAATGCTAACCAGCCGCCCATAAAAATGAGAAAATGAGAAAGCTATGAAACAGGTGAATACAAACCGAAAATGCCCCATTATTTGAGGATGACGTTTTTTTTATATAATGAAGTAAAAGGAAGGGGAAGTAAGACTGCTGGTAATATGTGAGAGGAGAGTCGTGAGCCGAAATGACAACCAGCAGTAGCAACAGTGAAAGAGAGAGAGAGAAGAGAAAAAAGGCGTCACTTCATAAGGCATCATAATTCCCTTTTGTCGCAACACCCAGTTCTACAAAAAAAAAAAAGCCCAGAACTTCTCGGAAGAGAAAGCCCACAAAGACACCCATGGAACTAAAGAAGCTCAAGATAGAAAAAAAAAACCCCTCCCGTACATGAAAGAGATTCATGACTGCCAAATTTCAAGCAATAAAGTTCCCCCACGCGTTAACACCTATTCGGGGTTGATCCACATTATCCCAGCCTACGTCTCTTAGGTGTAACTTCTTCAACATCCTCCTCTAATTCCTCTCTCGGCCTGCTTCCCGCACTGCTTGTCGCCGGGCTAGGCGCAACAGTGCTAGGGTTGGTTCCCAAGATTTGACCTATTCCCGAATCTCCGACATTTGCACCGAGTGCATTGGGGTCCTGAATATCCTTCTCGAACCTGAACAAGTCATCCATATCCCCAACTTCACCAATTTGCTGTCCGTCAACACCCATGTCGAAATTTGGAATGGAGGTATCGCCGCTGAGATCTGTTGATGGTATGCTCCAGTCCAAATATTCGCCGATATCACCACTAAGACCTGCCCCGTCAACACTATTTCCATCGTCGTGGCTAACATAGTTCTGGATCATATCCATTAACCCTTCCACATTCTCACTTTGGGCAGCCTGCAGCTCCTCTAGTTCCTCAATCTCCTTGGCCTTCTGGGCCAACTGGGCATTGTGGTCCTGAAGACTCTTGGAATTCACGCCCGATCCCGGGAGACTTCGGTTAAATAACCGAGGAGTCAATGAGCTCTTGGCTAGAACTGGCGAAGAGGAGGGTCTGCCCATCTGCGATGTTGATTGGGCAGTGGGTGAATCTGGAAGACTGAAGATTGGCGAGGAGTAATTCTGCATATTAGAACTGTGGTGCTGCTGCTGCTGCTGCTGCTGCTGCTGTTGTTGTTGTTCCTGACGTGGCGATGAATTTCTATTGTCGTGAGCGGGTGTCACCAGCTCCTGAATGCTGGGACTCTGATACGTCTGGAAATTTTGAACGGAGGAACCGTTAGGTTTGGGGGATTGGTTGTTTCCGGACGAAATGCCTGAATTCGAGTCCTCCTCAGATATCTGGCCAGCCATTGGTCCATTCTCAAGCAACAGTTGCCGCCGCCTAGCCATCTGAGGTGTGCGCACAACAGCTTGGGCTGGCCTTGCTGGTGTGACAATTGCCCCGCCAGTATTACCCACCACCGAGCCCACACCCTGCGAATGTAAACCATGTCCATGCTCTACTTGGTTCTGTGTAAATAAGTTGTTGAATGCCCCATTGATATGTCCACCCAATGACTTGTCGTAAACGGTCGCTAAAAATGTCAAAATGGCGCTAATCGAATGCTCGTGGCGATCGTGAAGCGTTTGAAAGGCGACACTCTGCTCGTACAATTGATTGTGATCCTTGCGAAGTCGGTTAATAGCTGCCGATATCATCGCCTGGTGGTTCTTGACAGCCTCCAGCTGCTGAATCAATGCTTGCAGATCTGGCCGAGAACCTCTTCCACCACCGCCCCCTTGTTGGTGGTGTCCGTCGCCCTGGTTGTCCGCCTTTGGTCCCTCGAGATACCCACCAACACCAACGCCACCGGGCCCGAATTCACCCTCCCCGCCATCACTGATATCATCTTCCTTGTCCGTATCAGGATCTTGCTTATTCTTGCGTTTTTTATTCGGTTTACCCTTTGGCTTTGAAATCAACCACATGAGATCGGGCTGCCCACGTTTAAAGTACGGATTTTCGTATTCACTAGGGGGTTTACTTCTCTGTTCAGAAGTCTTTAGTGAGCCGTCGGCAAGACCAACAACCTTATGGAAACCGTACATGTTGAGCTGACGGACGAAGGAAGCATAATTATTGTGCTTAAAAAGGTCCGGGATTAGTGTTCGTGAGAATTCATCCTCATCCAGCACAAGAAATGAGTTTCCCGACGGTGACCAACGAATGAGCGCATCGGTTTTGGGATCATTAACAAAACTAGCAACCCCGAAACCATGATGTCAGCAATCAATATCCTGGATGAAAAAAGTGACCGAACTCAATTGCAACGACCAAGCAAACTTGCGACGTACCTGCTCAGTTTTTGTACAAACGGCGGGATGCTCGCCCTTTTCTTTCTCATCTTCTCAATTCTCATATGTAACTCCCTATCGAACGGATCCAAACCATCGCTTTGAGGCCCAGGACCCATGACCTGCCCCATATTCGTAGTTCCACCCGAGCCACTCAACAAGTTCATCTGCACACCAGGAGCCGCCAGGCCCTGTGCCATAGCACCGGCCGTCGCCAAAGGATAGGGCATCCTAATTAACGTATTTCCTGTCCGATTCATCCGGGCAAGCCGGCCGGTACTATCGCTAGCGGTGATGGGAAGGTTTATGGCACCCGCTTGCGTGGCTGCAGTATTCTGGTCAACGTCTGATCTCCCGGCGAGAAAACTGTCGGCCAAGCCTGAACCAGCAGCGTAGAGGTTCCCACCCGGACCTGCAGACGAGATGCCAACGGGTGTCGTCGGCAAGGTCAAATAGTTCATACCAGAATCAGTTATGACCGTCGGTTCAACAGTCGCAGGCACGGACGAGAGGATAGGAGCACTAGTTCCAGGAGCGGGGCGTTTGCGACCACGGGTGTTGTTGTTGCTACTACCGCTAGGCTGGCCCTGTGGATGGGGAGGGGTCGTCATTTTTCTATTATGACGATACAAGGAATGAGTGGAAGAATAAGAGGGGGGGGGGGGGGGAAGAAGGGGGAGGGGGCTCGAAGGAGAACGTAGAAGAGATCGGTGGAAAGCGAACGTCTGAATATTATTGTTTTCTCTCCTCCTTGCTCCCCTCCTGTAAATCCTAATGCTGGTGAGACTGTGAGCTGTGGGGAAATTTTATTGTTGTCGTTGACAGATCAAGGGGAGTTTCGTTGTTGTTGAATGAGTCAAGGACAAGGCGGCGACGGATCAGGAGGAAGATGAAGCAGAGTTGATGGAGAAGGTTGTGTGCAAGGAGTTGCGTTGTTCTTTTCCCTCTCTTTTTTTTTTTTTTTTTTTAGCGCGAGCGGGACGTGATGCAATGGGTCAAGGCAGAAGGCGCGGAGCCTGGCTTCTCTGCCCTTCCGTAGCAATGAAAGCACAGCCCAACTGCTCGATCAAAGTACCGGTATTGAGATAAGGTGAGGGTATTCGAGGTGCCGTAGATTAAGGGCTATGGCGCTAGGGTGTCGGTGGGGCTATCTGATAGGTTTAGCAGGCCGGTGTTGGTTGCAGTGAGGTATTGTCATTTTATGGTGTTGAGTTGAGGGTTGGCTGCGGCGGGTGAGTGAGCTCTTGTGTGGCAGTGGGTGTGGTGGAGAAGCTGGCTGGGGTGGTGGACCTCTCTCGCGGGTGGCCGACCTCGCTTAGACCATTAGACTATCGTGGGAAGGGGAAAAAGAGAGTGAGGGCTGGTGCAACAAGGTGGATGTGGTGGATTGCAGGGCAAGCGCAGGCAAGACCTTAACTCGTCCGCGATCGGGAAACACGTTTTACCGCGTGGTATTCATATAATATAACCCCGACACTGGTAGGTAGGCTAACGTGCCGGTATTACCGTATGCCAGTACCGGTACGGACAGTGTTAAGCCGAGAGGCCGCAGGCAGTCAACTCATCCTCACTACCGGCACAGTACCGGTACTGTATCATACAAGTAGAGCAATGCTGGCAATCGGATTCGAGGTATCATAATCATTGCATTGTTAGGTAAGGCCTAGTTCGAGTGATATACGGCAGGGCTCGGCGCTGCGAACTTAAAGTGCGATGCCTTCTCCCTCCTCCCTTGCCATTTCTTTCGAGGATTGCACTCCAAGTGTTTTTATCACTTCCTATATGCATAATCACTCACACAGAGGTGGCTGCGACTTCATGGTGATGGGGGGTCAGTCCGTGGTGTTGTTTCCTTGGGTCCGATGCTGTGGTTACCAAATTCTGAGAGGCTATCCACCTCCAAGGGCAACAAGAGGGGTTAGGACGAATGTTTTACTCAGCATGACGTCCCTCTAGCCTTTGGACAGAAGCGGAGAAACAATGAACATCTACGAGTACATGTCAGCCGTCACCGGCGACCCTGGTGTTGGTAAATTCGAGAGGCAAACAAGCCCGGAGCTCACTACCGGTATTTCTCTCCACACTGATCCTCTGACGCCTTCCACTGTTGGCCTTTGGTCCCCAACTGCGTCTCACCTCTAAATCTACCGCTATTGAGGGCCATGTTAGAGTATATAATCATGCTCGGGGAATCCATATATTTAACTATAGGAGATGGTGATAAGGGGTCCGAATTCTCCGTGTCATCATTTCAGGCAGCCTCATTCTCGGTCAAATTCATTGTGCACCGTAAGTAATGTTTATCGCGATTGAGCCTTGGCCCGGGGTAATAGATACGGTATCCTGTCGTATTGTCCGATGGACCTTAGATTGCACACCCATTACAGAGTCTCGTAGTTTCTCCGATACCCCGGGCTGATGTGATTACCGTGTGCTGTCCGGTACCGAAGGGCTGGATCCCTGGGGCTTCGGGTAGTGGTCCAATTGGTTTCGCTGAATGATCCGGGAAGATTGAGGCACGGCAGGTGCTAAATTTACTTGTGCGGTACAGTACGGTATGTCCCTGCGGGGTACCGGTATGTCGAGAGCACACTCCCACAAGAGTCCTCAAAACACGCAGCTCTTAACCCAATAAAGATCACCGGTATACCGGCATGAACCTTTGTACCAGTAATAGTCTGCGCATTTTACGGCCCGGGTCCGTCCACCGGTATCCAGGTCTTTCGAAATTCCTCCCGACCCGATTCTAGAGGGATCGAGGCGCGGATTGAGAATGGCAGCTCAGGATGTAGGGGTATGATAAAAGCACTCGTGCCCGTGGCGGGGGTTGGGATTCGCAAAATATCTGGCAGGGAATCCGTGGGTACGGTATCTGAGCCCCCATACAAGTGCATGGTACAAATACTAGGGGACATGCTTATACACTCGTCTTCGGATGACCTACTTCCTGCCTGCTGGTATGATACCAGTACTATGAGCACTGCAGGATCTTCTGGACTCCACCATCGGATTATCGGCTGGGGTCGGTGTCCCAGCCCAGGATAGGTTTGGTTGACGGGTTAACAGGATTGCAAAAACGAATTAATAAGTGTCCAGTGGGCTGATCTCCGCCTATGCTGAGGAAACACCGATTCTTCTCAGGAGCTTCTGCCCCTGAACCCGGAAGTACAGTACGGTACCGGTACTGGTACCGCTAGGTGGGGTTCAGGAGCTTTTACTGTACGATGGGGCTTGAGATTAGCTAGCTCCACGAGAAGCTCAGTATCAAGACGAGAGCCTGGCCCTGACACCTCTGGCGCCTGTTCCTACGGTATGATATCATAATATTGATTATGATATTCTGTAGCTTTAGCGCCCTAGGGACTTAACCTCAGCCACGGGCCTGGCCAATCGCAAATTTCTCATCTCATCCGTGCCGGGCAGTTTGGTACTGTACTGCCGCCTTAGCCCAAACGAAAGTGCCCTTCCTATCATAGTTGTAGATCACTTTGAGGCCGAAGATTCGTGTGGGACTCCACGCGGTGTGCCGTTTGATACTCGAGTACCTACCGTACCCTATGACTCTTTCCGTTGACAAGCCTTTTCGTGCACCCATGCTACGAAACTCGCTTCCCTTCCGCTGGGCAGGTTATGGACAACCTCTGAGACGACCACTTTTCATTCTCGTCATTTCATCTCAACTCACCATTTGTGGATGAATAAGTATTTGGCATCTGACCGTTTGATTTCTCTCCTTTCTGTTTCATCGGTCACCTTACTGTCTGTAGCCAGTGCGATCTCCGTTTTTTTTTTCTTGGACGATTCGCACCAAATTACCGGTACCGCACAATGACAACCGAGGAACGGTCAGCGCCACCGGTGGCAACAGCTAGAGCTCCCCTCACAGAAGAGCAGAGAACGCGAGCGGCAAGTCTCCAGATTTTCATGAATAGCTATTAAACCTGGAGCTTACGATAACCAGGAGGTAAACCGCCTTAAAGCTATTGCGATCCGTGAAGCCCTTAGGGAGCAGGCAGATTCCTCACGGGCCGTAACCGCCCCTGCATTAAGCAATGCGAACTCATCCTCGTCTCCTACCCCGGGCGGTAAACGCTCTTTCACAGCCATGGCCAGTAATCGCAAAGGGGGCGAGGGCCGTGAGGACATCGCCATCAAGCCTGCGCGCAAGTTCCAAAAGTTTGTGGAGTACGAATTTGCCAAGATGAAGGACACGAAAGGCGGCTTTATATCTGCCGAGGATGACCCTCATTCTATGCTTTCGGCGGTAGATCTACAGGATAAGCCGGCACACATGAGTTTGGAGGATTGGGCAAAGCATCAATTGAAGATGAAACTTATGAAGGAGAAGTCCGGGCCATATGAACCTGGCCTCAGTGTTCTCGCTATGGGCGAAAAGGCGCAGATCAGGTGTTATGAGTGTAACACTGTGGAGATTGACTGGAAGTGGTATGAGACTTTCAAGTGTAGGGTCTGCGCGGGGTGTAAGGACAAAATCCCGGAAAAGTATAGTCTTTTGACCAAGACCGAGTGCCGGAATGATTATTTCTTGACTGATCGTGGGTGTTTACAATTTCTCCTGGTGTTCCCGACCCTACTGACACGTTTGTCTTATAGCTGAGCTCAAGGACGAGGAATTACTCCCACGTATACACAAACCAAACCCTCACAGATCCACTTGGAACAATATGATGCTGTATCTTCGTTATCAGGTGGAGGAGTTTGCACTAAAGAAATGGGGTTCTATGGAGAACCTCGATAGGGAATTCGAGAGGAGAAATGGGGTTAGGAAGAAGAGAAAGGATGATAAGTTCCGAGCAAAGCTCAAGAGTCTCAAAAATAAGACTCGTGTCGAGAGCTGGAAACGGAGTGCCGACAATGAGAAACATGAGCATGTTTGGGGCACTGCCGTTACAAATGCCAGCGGAGAAAGCGTCAGGACGTGCGAGGAGTGCGGATTTGAGATCGAGGAGCTGGTTTTCTAGCATTGTGCTAAGCTCTTTTTTTCTTTTTCTGGAGTTTGCGGTAAAGGTCCAGGGTGGGAAATTGTTTCTTGGGCCAAATTTACTACCTGCCAACCCCGGTTTTCAGGTTCTCAGTGGTATCGTATCGGATTCTTTGGCTTTTCATGTATTTCTGATGCTGGTGACATTAAAGTTTTTACGAAATGGCTATGGCTCGGCCCACAAATTAAGCTTGAATTATTGCCCTTTATACTAGCGCCTGGGCTTGCTGACGGGCAGACTATGGTGGCGAAAGAACCTTTTGATATGTAATTCTAATGACAACTCGTGAGCTGTCAATATGCACAATATAGCACTCTGCACGTCGGGAGGCAGAACCTGGGGTACACACAGGACATTTTGGCCGCCGGAAATTTGCGGCGAATGTGCTGCATGAGCGGTGGGCCGATGCATCGGCATCAATTTATGTCGCAGAAAAATGTTGCAGGTTTTATCACACTCAAAGAAAAATACAACGTCAGAACTTTTTCTTGGTTGTTTCATTCACACAATAGTGGCACCGCACGGGAGTGGGCTCTAGATTACTGTATTGTAATTTTGTATCCGATCGCTCACTGTGCTTCCGGAATGGAGAAGTGATATTACGATGGGTACTGGCACAGTAAATACAGTACTCGTACCATACCAGGCGTATCAGTGTTTTATCAGAGGCTTGTGGCTTCCCCACACAATGCCGGAAGCGACATTCTTTCTGCATACCGCCACACAGAAATAAGCATCGGTCACCTACACTACTGTTATCTGCGCTCACTCCGAAGACTTTCGCCCCCCAGCAGGGTCTTGCAGCGACTGCCAACCAACTTCAGTTTTTTTTTTTGAGCTTGGAAGATTAGGCGAGAAGGAAGGAAGGAAGGAAGGGCAGAAAAAAAAAAAAGAAGAGACGCATGATTCTAAACGAACACCTGTAGGATCTCCTCACATAACTTCTTTTTCTCCCTTCATCTTTCAAACTCCTTCTCCGCCTCATTTGCTGATCTCCCTCTACCTTCTCTTCCGGCTGTTTTCTTTCCCATTCTTCTTTTTTTCCCAACTTTTCCTTCGTTCTTTGCTGTCACACCCCCTTTTGAGCTATTGGGTTGACTTTGTCTTGGCACCACTTCTCACCTCCTTTTGGATCGACCATCCAGACAACACCTCTCCACAGGCATCTTCCGTTCAATCCGCGCTTTGTTTTATACCCATTAAGACTACTTCCTTTTCGCAAATTGCGCTGAAAACAAGCGTACGCGGCACCATGGCCTGGCAGTCACCCTCTGCGCACAACTCCTCCCCCGATGGGAATAATGGGAACGGTGGCCTTCAAGGGAACGGTGCCAATGGGGGCTCTGGAGACGGTGCTGTTGGGACAGAGTATACCTTACAGGGTGAGGGATATTACTGATCGGCTGTGCTGGGCTATGGAGAGCTGATTAGAGGTGCGATTTAGGTGTCATGAGGTTTTTGCAGACAGAATGGCATCGTCACGAACGGGATCGTAATTCGTGGGAGATAGAACGTGCGGAGATGAAGGCTAGAATCGCGAAGCTGGAAGGGGAGAATAGGGCGGCAAACAGGTTACACCAAGGGTTCCTGACGAGGATAAAAATGCTCGAGACAGCGTTGAAGAAGGAGAGGACATCAAAGGGATTGGAGGGGGCCGGGGGGGATGGGCAAGGAGGTCAGAGGGCTACGGTGGAGAACTCGATCAATGTAAAGTGTGGGTTTGGGATCACGATTGGGCTCGGGGGTGTCTTGAGTTTGCGGAAAGAAGGCTAACGTGTTTGTTATGCTTAGCATCTCAGCCGCCGAACCCCCTTGGAGAATCCTCGTCACTTTACAGAGCTGAGGCTGCTAGAAATAAGAGTCGGGTATATCTGGAGAAATGTCTGCAGGAGATCACGTATTTGCTTACCCCACCAAATCACCCCCCACCTCAGCATCAGCCTCCTATCAATATGGAGTCTATACTGCAGCAGCACCATCAACAGCAGCAACAGCAACCCCAGCATCAGGCACTTCAACAGCCTTCTCCGTCTCCCAATCACCAGCCTCCATGCCCGCCAGGACAGGCTAGTAACCACTTAGGCAATGCTGGGATGCTTTCTGGACACCAATCGTACCCGCATAGTCGTGCCTCGCTATCTCGATCTCATGAGATGGGTGGTCAGCAAACCTCGTTCCGCCAGGAATCGCAGATCCAATCTCAGCCTCAGATTAATATTCCCTCGGACTCGGGCGAGCAGTCAGATGAAACATCGCAACAGCAAGATACCTTTTCCTCAGGTTCAGATTATGGCGAAGCCGATACAAACCCCTTCTCGGCCTCTGTGCCTGCTGTGGCCGAAAATGCTATAGGGTCTCCAGCGCCTGGCGATATTGATTCGTGGGATTTTGACGAGACAACTCGAGTTGGCGGCGGTGATCCGGAAGTTGCTAATAGTCACACAAGAGAGACCGAACAATATAGTTCAAGTAGTCATACGGGGAAGGCCAATAGTGTTAATCGAAGGAAACTTTCTGCATCAAAACACCGGCCCCCAAGTGACTCACGGGATTCAGCTGGGATTGTGAGCTCTGCAACCGCGCTGGGCTCGGATTCCGGAGGGTTCAAGGTAAAGTTTGCCTTGAGGGGTCATTTGGACGTTATCCGCGCTGTTATCTTCACTGGCGGGGGAACGGCCAGTGAGCCGGAGATTTGTACTGCCGGTGATGATGGTGTTCTCAAGAGGTGGTTTATTTCGGGGAGCTACGGTTTATCTATGGGTCTTTCAGATATGGATATACAAAGCCATTTCACCCATAGGGGTCATTCGGGAATGGTTACATGTTTGGCAGCTCGCCCCCTTGCTGGGGGAAGTGGTGACGAGGGTGTCTCCAATACTGGAGGGTGGATATTCTCTGGGGGGCAAGACTCCACTGTGAACGTATGGGAGGCGGGAAAGGTGGGGCCTAAGGCTACGCTCGTGGGACATACCGATGTGGTATGGGCGGTCTGTGTTTTGCCGTCAGCACCTAATGTCCTTGGTTCCTCAGACTCATTTGAGAGAGTCCTCTTGGCAAGTGGCTCAGCAGATGGGACGGTCAAAATATGGAGTGTAACTCCTCCGCCATCACCACAGTCTCACTCGAATACCGGTAGTATGCGTGGAAGTTTTAGAGATACCCCATCTGCCGTTCCATATGCCAATAATGTTCCTTTCAAGTATTCTCTTATTTCTACAATTACTCGAGAGGGCATTATCGCAAATCCAACTTGCATAACTCCAATGTCCATCACGGGCGAGACCTTTGTTGTCTCCTATGATGATGCTGCTATCATTATTTATGATACTGCGTCCGGGGAAGAAATAGTTAGCATGATGAGCCAGGAGACCTATGATGGGACGCCGGCTTCGGGTGTCAATGCGGTTGTGGCATCAACTGTGAACCTTGAGAGCGGCGTCGAGACTGGTAGGGAGGACGAAGCCCTAATGGCTGGAGCAACGGGTTTGAAGGGTGGAGTCAGCGGGATGATTATTAGTGGGCATGAGGACCGGTACGTGAGAATATTTGACGCTAATAGCGGTAAGTTCCCGATCAAGATTCTTCATGTTTGGCTGCGAGCACTGAGGCTGATTTTGAAACGTTGAAGGCCAATGCACGTACACCATGCTTGCGCATCCCGCCGCAATTTCAAGCTTGGCGCTCTCCCCAGATGGTAGAGAACTTGTCTCTGCTGGTCATGATGCAAGTCTGAGATTCTGGAGCATGGAAAAGAGATCCTGCGCCCAAGAAATCACAAGCCACCGGCTCATGCGGGGCGAGGGGGTCTGTTCCGTTGTCTGGAGTGCGGACGGAAGGTGGGCGGTAAGTGGGGGAGGCGACGGTGTAGCTAAGGTCTTTGCAAGATAGTGAGTTTTTTTTTTTTTTTTTTTTTTTTGTTATTGGCAGTCGCTTGCCTGATGAACGATGGGGTGAGAAAAATTTAATGTATTGGTCTGATACCGGGGTTTCTCTTTTGTTCATTTTTTCCCCCACTTCTATGTGGTACGAAGGGTTATGTTCTTTCAGTTTTCGGTTAGTTCTACCTTGTTCTACGGTTCACATATCATGGTTCTGCTGGGCTCTTTTTTTACCTTTCACTTTTTCTGCGCACATCATGGGCTTAGTTTCGCGCGGGTATAGGTGCGCATAGGGATGTCTGTACCGGTTTGGCGATTTCGAGTTTCTCCCTTTCTCTTTCATATCTTTGAAAACGAAGGGCGATCGATGCATGGGTTAGCTTTGAATTGGCTTGTATTGGGTGGTTATGGTACTTTAGATCGGAGAAGCGGAAGAAATGATTCTGAAAAAAAAAAAACAATCTTACATGGTGGAAAGAGGAAAATAGCAAACAGAAAAGACGGAAAAAACAAGGGTCTTTCAGTCCTTTCTAAATTTTTTTTTTCATTTTTTTTTTCATTCTCATCCGTTCTCTCTTTCTACCTCCCTCCCTCTTTTTGTCTCGCGTTGTATCATACTGTTTCTTTCGCCTGGTTCCGACCCTTTCTTATATATTTTTCTTCCCCTCTTTTTTACCCTTTTTCTTTTCTTTTTCCTTGGGGAGCAAGCATGTAGAATTGGTGATGGTTTGAGTTGTCTTGAATTTTGGAAGTTGGGAGAGCGGATAGAATGGGGTGATACCGGGAGTCTTATATCGATTTGTTTTTTTCCTTTTCCTTTCTTTTTTGCTTCTGCACTGCATGCATTCTTATGCCGTAGTCCACGGTGCGATCTTGGGGCTTGAGCTTTTCTTGGATGGATGTGGCAGGTAAACGTAACGCAAGCGACCTGCCTGTAGTCAAGTCGATGATCCAAGCCTGACGTCTGAAGCACCCTTCGCCTGCTCGCTTGGGAACAAGAATTGCGGGGAAAAGATCGGCGTGAGCTTGAATATTTCCCGAAACAAGTACGAGTACCGTAAATACGATCATTGCCGAGTCTTGGCCACTCACATGTTGACGACGTCAAGTCTGCGAACACGCTCGCTCACGTCAGAGACCTTGATGAAATAGCTTGCACACACACACACACACCCAAGAAGGGAGAGAGAGAGAGAGAGAGAGAGAGATAGCAGGAACAGAGCAAACAGATGAATTTAGTCTACCGTATTGTACTCGAGCACTCATATCCATTTCTTTAAAGTCGGATTGGGGCTAAGGATAACCGAACCAACAAGGAAGGTGCAGAAGACCACCAGATCGCCGCACTTTAAGCAAGCGGCGAAAGGCGCCTGCGGACAGACTGCCCTAGCGCGAAATCCGACTTTTTCAAGAGATAATATCATATCATATCATACCTTACGGCTATGGCAGGAGAAGAGTCGATGTAGTAATGACGACATCCACCTTCCGATGTGCTCGAGTACCTTACCTTACAATCACCCACCAGCCTTTCTGGACTACCGGTATTGGGTCCTGTGAAATGCCTTGATTTCCCATCCCCCCATCCCCCCATCCCCCCCCAGCAGAAACCTAGTAGGAAGAGTGGAACAAAAATTGTAATATAATATAATCCCAATCAACCGCACTCTTATCCAATCCTCCCAATGAGCACAAGAGTCCCCCGATGCACCCGTCACAAACCCACTAAATCGTGCAGCCAGCGATTCACCCGCTCAGTTCACCACCACAACGAAGATGTCCGCAACCACAGCTAAGGACCTCGACAGGTCCCAGCGAGAGCCGCTCGTGGCAAACCCCTCCGACCCAAGCAGGGCCCAAAAGGAGGCTGCCATTAGGAGTAAACTTAGGACTTATGAGGCGCTGCTAGCGGTGAGGGAGGGGTACATGCCGAGCACTGAGCAGATCACGGCATGGGCCAGATATGCGCTTAGAGCCAGTGGGGTGCTGGATAGTAGGAATAGGAGATTGAGTGCGCAGGGTCGGGGGTTTGTTAGGGATTTGAGGGCTTGGGTTGAGGCGGTCGTTGAGGTTGGCCTGGGTAAGAATGTGAGTGATACATCGAATTTGGACCTCTAGGAGTGCTTTCTAATATGAGGGGAATAGTCGGACGATAAGATTCAGGAGTTTATTTGGCATACTTCGAACGCCCGGATCGATGTTTGTGGGCCGAATATGAGGGGTGCTGGAGGTGCGGTCGCAGGGGCAACACCCTCAGGAAAGGATATGAAGAAGAGTGTGTAGCTTTCCATTGAGCGATATGAGGGCAGCCATGGCTAACTGCACACAGTATATTCAAAGATGAGGCTACTGGGAAGTCTCCTCTACTCCAGCCCCGAGTTTAGGAAGCTACTGAACGACACCACCAGTACATCTCCCTCGCTCCCGTGGTCCTGCCAACGCTAACAAACCCAGTTGTCTGCCGCGACATATTCGCCGATGCTGCCTCCTTCGCCGCAAACGTTGCTAGCTCCGCGGCGGAAAAAGCTCGCCCGGGAGGAGACATTTCGCAAATCGAGAAACCTGCCGAACCCGCACTCGGTGATCCGAATGCAAGTCCAGACATTCCTTCCGCATCACGGATCCGCTCTATGGCAAAGGATAAAGGAATCTCCTACGTGGAAACCCTCCGTGAGCAGACTTCCCGGTCACGCTACGACATGGAGGCCTACCTGCGTGAGAAATTTCCAAAGCAGCGTCGGGATGCGGTGATCAACAGGCTCAAGTGCACTATCAGCGAGATCCAGAAGAACTCTGACTTCAATGACACCGTGGACTTTTTGATAGAGATGGCCCATAAGTACATTGGTAGGATGACGGACAGTCTCAAAGAAACTAGCACGCAGAAGCCTGCGATCCAGACCGACGAGCACTTTGACCGGGCGGTCCAGGATATGAAGGTACCTTTCCTCAATCTATCGAGTGATGAACTATGATTTCTGACTGTAAGAAAGGCCATCTTAATGGTCTTCGCGGACGGCAAGCCCCTCGATGACATCCACTCCGCCGCGGAAAAGGTAGTCCAAGACATTCAATCAGATGAAGATCTCCAGGGCTTCTACAACCACATCTCCAACTTCCTCAACCGGGCCCTCAAGGAAAAAGACTTCATAACTTCAGACGCGGCTGACGCGGAAGCGCACGGTTTGTATGACCGCTCCACTACCCTTCTGCAGGAAAAGACGGATGCCTACCAACCAGACATGCACGCGCTCTTCCAGGAAATAACCGCCTTCCTAAACGCCATCTCCCAAGACCGCGAGAACCGTCGGGTGGTCGAGGCGTCCAAGAAGGTCTTTAACGACCTAGTGATCTTGGATTCCCAAGCCAACTTCAAAGGCTTCAAACGCCGTGTGGTGCACGACATCCTGGACGTTTTGCTTCCCAAACTCGTCGGCGAGGTTCACTACGTACCAATACCTAGGGTAGAGTATCAAGATCGGGACTACGACCTCATCCTCGAAAACCTGATCCTCGAAAGCGACCATTTTATCCCTTACAAGACACTCTTTGAGGCCGTCACCCGGGCAGAGTTTGTGAATGAGTATGTCTTCTCAAGCCACTACTCCGGGACCAGCAAGTTGCGCGCTCAGGGGATCAACATGTTCGCAAAGGACATGGCCTTCATAGTCCGGAAGAAGACCGGTCTGGTCACGTTCGAGGACCGCGGATTCCTAGATGTGTATTTAGATGGCAGGGGAGCCGACGCTGAGATCATCCTCGAAAGCCACTCTGATGATGAAGATGAGGAGGACGATGGTGACGGTGTGTATGGCAGCGGGCGCTACTTCCAAGTGAAAAGCGTGAAAGTCAACATCCACAACTTCAGGTACAAGTATAATGCGTACCATACGTGGGCTGCAGCACTCCTATCCCCTGTTGTCCGCCCTATGGTGCGGAAGCTCGTGGCTAGCATACTGGAGCAAAAGATAAAGCACACCTTCGAAATGGCGGATAGGGAGATTCGTGGCGTTGTGGAGCGCATGAGGGTCGCATCTATAGCTACCAGCGGCGGCGGCGGGAGCCTCGAAGGGTGGATCGGAGCAATCCTTTCGCGTCCGCCGGGACATAGGGGTGGTGTTGGCAGTGGTGCGGGGGTGAGAAGCGCGAGGGCGGGAAGAGGTGGTTATAGGGTTAGCATCGGCGAGGACGATATATTCCCGGGCGAATTCCCACCCGGTGGGATCATGGGCAAGATTAAGGACTCTACCGAGAGGGTTGTAGCACTTGGCGAGGAGGGTGGGTGGAGGAATGATGTTTTCGATCTTAAGACATGAGGCATGGTTGTTGTAGAGTGTGTGAGCGTTGCACCAAAATTGAACACCTGGTGGGAAAGATGGTAGGGTATCTTTTGGGGGGGTCAAATTGCATAGTCTATGATATGTATTAATTAATGCTCCATTCGGTGCCATCCTGAGTATAATAAAAGTATGGCAGTGAAAGTTGAAAATGACATATACTCGTGCTTCTCACCCAAGATTTGGCACCCCATTTGTCCTAACTTGCGACGCCAGCTCTTTTCCGCCGAAGGGGAATATTTTCCTAGTAGTGCGGAACAAGTGCAGAGGTCTAACCGTTGGAGGGAATAGTTGGTGAATGGAGTTGCCACACGTTTACTGAAGTTTACTGGTATGGTATCCGGATCAGGGCGTGGGCTGTTTTCCTCCAGAAGGTTAGATTCCCATACTCGCTTGGCGCTACCTTACTGGTAGACTACGCCCCTTCAGCAAAGAAGAATCTGCGCCAACCACTAGGGAAAATGGGGTGCCAAGTCTTGGTTTCCATAGCACGGCAATGTACGAGTAAGCATTCGTTTGAATAGCGTCAAAACAAGTATGGTATCATGTCGTCTCATAGACTACATGTTTGTACTTTTTCATCTCCAAGCAAAGAACTGTATGATACTGCAAAATTCCTGATATCCCGACCGTTTTTTTTAAGGAGGCATCCCCCGACAGCTTGCTTGCTTTCTCACTCCTAGATCGCTTGAATGTGTGTCCAATGAATATTTTTTTATGGGGGAATTGGACTATTTCAGTGTTGGTTACGAGCCGGTATATGCGCCGAGCCGGACCGGCCAAGTTAAGTTAACAACAAGGCTTGACCACCTGGTTCTTTAGTCCCACCTGGTCGGGATGTGAAAACACAAATATTGGATCTGGAATTGAGGGCCGCAAATGCCCACTTTTATGCCTCCATTCAGGTATGACTTTGTGCCCATTCTTCTCAAGGACAATTCTGACAAGAGTGGCTTCAAGAAAGTTAGGAATTGGCTGGTGTATTGACCTCTTAAATGGATGGAGTTTGAGAAACTCAACAATTGCCGGGAGTCTGATGGGCTGTTGATAACTCCCCCCTGGACCTGTCTGCTCAAACTCTCTATTCAAACGATTTATTTACCATTTCAAATTGGTAGGAGAAAGAGGGAAAGAGACCAGTATCTCTATGATTCCCTTGCACAGTATATGTCGTGGAGGTACAGTACAAGTACCACACATAGGCAAGGGAGAAAGAAGTTTAATAACTTTGAATTTCCTGATGCCCCGGGAGCCATCCGTTTGCACACACACCTTTGTTGGTCTAACTAGGAGCGGGAAGTCTAGTACATACTAGTACTAGTACAGATCCCACTTTGCTCCTGAATCTTGCTGGACTAATGAGAGGTTGACGATAGGGGAGGGGAGTATGTTAGATGGCAATGAGGAATCATAAAGCAGAGAAAGTCAGTTATATTTTCCATAAATAGACTATACAGTCCTCGATTGGTCTACACAAACTGGGGGGGGGGTTGGCTAAGGGGAAGACTAATATGTTCGCAGCGGAATTTGGAGATTTGTTTTCACACACTTGATATCCGGGATATATCCTCAACTCTACTCTACTCTACTCTACTCAGGTACACCATATGGATCCCCCTTCTAGTGGAGGCTGGTTTACCGAGTGATACTAAGTGACCAGTAACAAAACCAGGCTCGGGCCCTACATTAAATTTCGAGCGGGCTCGCGAGTGTCACTAAACTATCTGCTGATCCCAAACCCGTGCGGGCATCGGGTTTACCATTTTTTTCTCATTACTATTATATTGCCCGACAGGAATTCCGTCCCTCCCTCTGTGCTATAAAAACCCTCCATTTATTCCTCCCTTTCCTCCTCTCCCTCCTCTTCATCCTCTTCATCCACTTCTTCGGCCCGCGCTCAGCTCATCAAGTATGTTGTCCCTTTGCCAGTTTCAACTACGGAGGTACAGCGCCTAAGTTTTGTATATTTTACTGGCTAAGGGGTGCTCGGCCATGGATTGGGTAGCTTTCACTGAAAAATACCCAATTTGTCGCCGCCCGTCCTTGCTGACCGAACACCCCTTGGTCAGTAAAAATATACAAAACTTAGGTGTTGTACCTCCGTATACCTGTTGCACTTCCATTTGTTTCTAAACTTATACCGAAACCTGAATTCATTACTGTATGGCTAACAAAAAAGAGTACCGGTCAATTCCAAGCAGGATGAGCGACCACGTCCCCCAGTCTTCAGAAGCCGTAATGCCGGAATCAATGAGTCCGACAATGAAGCTCGACGCAAGAACCCACACAGACTATTGGATTCATTTCCTTGCGTACTGCAACAACACTTGGACTGACAACCAATCCTTCGTGCTATTCCCTCGGCCAATTCTATACTTCGATAAAACTGCAAAGAAGGCCTGGGCGACCCATATTCGTAATAACATGGGTCTGCAGCTCTCGAGCAAAGATGAGGTGGACCTGTTGCGCCACTTTACCCAGGGCGCGACCCTCAATTCCTTTCTCCGTGTCGCAAGGAAGGGCGGGATACTTGGTATCTTCATCAACTCAACCGCGGGAAACGCCGCCGAAAGAGCTGTAAAGTTAAGCAGCGGAGGTAGCAAGCAGCACGAGTGGCACGCATACGCCGTCTTCTACACCGGCGGAGTTCTGAGAATCTTTGATCCGAGCAGGGTCTACGATCTCACCGCAGCAAACCGGAACGAGGACCAAGATCTACGCATCTGTGAATCCATCCCGTTGATTCGTCGCTGGAAGTCCAGTACCCGTGGTGGCGGCCTTCCACCCATCACCCGGATCGAGATATCCGGTGGTGAGGGCGCTCAGCAGCAACTGGCTGGGGAGTCCGAGACACGCACTCGTGATTGGGTTCTCAATCGTTGGGTCAAGGAGCGCATGACCTTGCTCGGGAATCTTGATGATAACTTTGTTGGATTGAAGGACGCCGGCTCCATTGGCAACAATGAGGAGCCGGTTTGGGTCAATTATATTATGTAATTAGACATTGTTTTGAACCCTAAGATCCCCTCCCCCCTCTTCAATCTACTATATCTGAGCTATTGGCCTGTTTGTTTTTATGTTTGTTTCCTCTTTTCTTCCTTCCTTCCTTCCTCCTCCCTTCCTCCCTCCTAGTCACAAGGGGGGAAGCGCTAGTACTACAGTGCTATACTAGCAGACCAAACGGTGAATTGTCAAAGTAGAGATACCCGAATAAGATGATCAACCGGGAGAGGCGGTATACCACATCCCATTTCCCGTATAGTACTATTAAGCATATGTTGCGATCCATCTTAACTTGCGTGTAGATTCCTACTCATCATGTGTGGACGGTCGTCATCCTTCTATACATACCAATTACTATAGATCCTTGAATCCTTACTGTTGCAGAAGCTGTACTATTTAGGAAGGGTGATGGGACCTCTTTGTGAGAAGAAAAGAGATGGACGGGAAAATCAAAAGGAGACGAACAGACCTTGGTGAATTGAAAAGTGACTCCGTCCTTAGCAAATCAAAGCTTCTTTTGATTTTCTTCTCCTTCTTCAAGCCTGGTGATCCCGGATGACTAGTGAGTACTCTTGCTGTTTAGACCATCAAAGAATGCTGACATTGTCACACGAGAGAAAAAAAAAACCCCCCATAACTACCAGAAGTAGGCAGGAGACCTACGACGGTACCCGTACTTGTATTTTCACCGTGTATTCGCAGTCAGGGATTAGTAGTAAGTGCGCTAGTCCTATTACATTATTCTAATAAAGGGTACGAAAATACCTATTCGGGTCAGGATTCAATATCGAATCGCTTGGTTATTTACTTACTCAAACGGCCAAATTGAAGCAGCTCCTGTTTGTTTTTTTCTGGTGACCCACCAAAAAAAAAAAAAAAGCGACTTCAATCCGACAACATGTCGTGATGTCGTGATTCTATTCTAGTGTCCGAGTCGCCGAGTCTGCTGGCTTCAACTGGGAATGACCCTTGTGGTTAAGTTACCCGATTCCGAATACTGTACTGTACTATTCTATACTAGTACTTGTACCACATAAGATACACCCAATCCGTTGGAACAACTGCTAAACCTGAAGATCATCACCTAATTTAGGGAAACCCACCATCCACACAAACACAACTCTGCTCTCATCAGTCGGCATTCCCCTGGGCGCCTACCGCATATACAATGTCATATCTCCGCCTCCCTCTCCGGTAAATTAGCACATCCCCATGCACGCACGCATGCAACGGTTCAGGTCCCTACGGTACTTGGAACAGAATTCTTTCCTCCTTTTTTTCCACGCCACTCAGCCCCGTTGAACCACTTCCTTAAATTAGCGACATTATCCAGGACCCAAGCGCACGGGTACAGAGTAAATTCGCAGCCGCAATGGATAACACGACACAACACAATAGCGGTAGCCTCTTCAGGGCAGTGACCATCGATGGTACGGAAAATTAACCAATTTGTCGGTCTTACATTGATGATCGTCGAGGTGACAGGGGATCACCCGCAGCGTGCTTTTCTTTTTTTTTTTTTTTTGAAGAATCCTGTCCTGTTTGGAGGGAGGAAGGGTGGACTCACCGGTGCCATGTTTATTTATGTATATCATGGATAGTCAAAGGCTAAGGATGAGACGGGAGAATTTGACCATTTTGTGTATTAGTCAGGTACGCCCACGGTTTTTGGGGCCCAGGTTATTATGCACTATACTTATGGTATCATAGCTTGGCTGGCGATGGGGGGAACTTGCCTTGGATGCGGGTTTCTTTTCACTTTTTGATGTGGGGTGGGAGGGGTCTAGATTTGAGACTGTTGGAACTGAAGGGAAATTTTTTCTGATTATAGGATTTTACAAGGGGGGGGGAGGGGAGCGTATATATTGGCCACTAGAGTATGATATCTCTTTCCCCACATTCTCACTTCACTTTGATATCTATCTAATACTCGAGCTACCCAATTCAAGAAAAAAAACAACAACAATGTCCCACCTACGATACTACGCATACAACGGCGTCGGAAAGCGCAATCTAGAAAAGTACTACTACAGTCAAGCAGTCCGGATAGATGACCGGATTGAATGCGCGGGGCAAGGCAAGTACCCCCCTTCCTACTCTCCCCACCCCCCCCTACCTCCATCCATTCAATAACACACACCAGGCGGTTGGAACCCGAAAACCGGTGAACTGGCAAAGACGATGGAGGAGCAGATCGAGAAGGCCTTCCAGAACATCGAACTGAACCTCAAGGACTCTGGCGGCGCGGGTTGGAGCCAGGTGTACAAGATACGTTCCTATCATGTCGACCTGTCGCCCGAGTCGTTGGGCGCCACCGTCGCCACTATCCGGAAGTGGTGTCCGAATCATGCGCCCGTGTGGACGTGCATGGGCGTCGCGGCGCTCGGGGAGGAGGGGATGTTGATCGAGATTGAGGTGGAGGCACAGGTTCCGAGGGCGGGTTAGACTTCTCCTCCTCCCTTTCTCTTCTGCCTGCCATCTTGCGTGTGGGATATAGGTTAGGATGAGAGGATGTTTTCAATTGCCCGTTTGGGGGGGATTTGGGGGTTTTTTTTTTCTTTTCTTTCTTTTTCTCTTTTCATCTGGGAGGGATACATGTCGAAAAAATAGAATTCGCGAGTGATCTTGTGTGTCTGCAAAGAGAGAAAACGTGTGATTCTTTTATCATAGCACCTGAAAGTTTTCCCTCCTAGGGCCTATTGCTGTCTCTGTTCCCTCTAGGAGTACTCGTGTCGGCGGGGGGCGTCGGCGAGGGTGTTGTGTCCGGCAGGATCGGTACAAATAGGAATGGCACCAGCCACGATAACGCACAATAGAAAGCAAAACACCAGCGTCAAAAATAAAATAAAAGTAACGCCGCGCTCACAGGAGAGAGGCTCACACATTCGTCCCGCTTAAAGTGGTAAGCGCGACAATGGCAATCAAGTCGGAACGAGCATGCCTTGTCCGCAATATACATCTTGAATGTTACAACCCGCAAACCACGACATGACATGAAAGGTCACTCGTCAGGAATCCGTTACTATATGTGACATGGGTGTGGCTAGGTAGGTAGGGTCCGATGCCAAGAGAATAGTACTCATAGCGAGAACATTGAACACACCTTTCCAGCTAGACGCACGCATTCGTTCGAATTGGGATGGATATTGGGAGAAATTTTGGAATGGGAATAAAAAACTGATAGGGTGAGATGGGTAGTATGGGAAGGGGGGGGGAAGATATAGAAAAAAAAAGACAAGGTATGATATACTATTTTTCTGTGGCCCCCCAAATAATTGATATCAAACCTTGGAGCCCGACATTCTCTCATTGGCCCCGCTACTATTATGGTTTCTTGGGGATGGGATGGGGATTATAATCAAAAAGCGTGTGATATCATACATGTCCAGAAATAGGCCAGGCTTTGTCTGTAAAGGGTTATATCATAGGGGAAGGCACATTGTATTGCGGATTACCATACAAAGAAGGTCATATATTGGCTAGCTGGAGTTGATCCCGTTTGGCAAAGCAATACCGGACTTCCCCTTCCACTTTTTTTCTTTTTCTTTTTTTCCTTTCTTTTTCTTATTCTCACGTTAACCTATATAGAATGCCCCCGTTAAATATGAGTTATTCCTAAGGCCCTATTTGGATAGGACCGTTCCGCTCCGTTCTCTCCCGTTATGGAGATGCAAAGACAACCATTTCTCCAGGTATCATATTATAGTATAAAATCATCACTGAGAGGAACGGTGACACCCGACCCGCCTACCGTTCCCGCCAAACAGACCCCAATCAACACCTGCAATTTCCCGTTTCCGGAAATGCAAATCGTCAGGCGAGGGAACCGGCAGCGGGCCAAACGTGTAAGATCTTTATTTTTCTTCTGTAGACATGTTCGTCGTATCGTAATGTTTGTCGGAAGTCTCTATCACCACCATGATATAAGCGAGAGGAGAGGAGAGGAAATGCGGAGATGGTTTCCCTGGCAGCCAAATTCTAATCCACCTCCAAAAAATCTCCATACCCCTATCTCATACCACCCACACAGCAATATCAATGTAACCCTCTGGCAGCCCTAAGTAATATATTTGGGATCTCTCCCTTCAAATGGACTAGATAGTGACAAGTTTACAACCATTAAATATTTTTTTAAAAAAAAAAACATAATTTTGAGTATGGCAAGTAGTATGAAACCATGTTGCGGATCATTTCCATGCGTGGTATCGTATCCACCATAGTAAGTGAACCGGAACAGACCATTCTACAAATCAATTGTAGCCATATCTTCAGCTACTATTGACCAAATTCCTCCTTATTGACGAGGAGGGGATATATGTGCCAGTATAATGGGTGGTTATATGCCCGAGTGATATCACATGAATTTCCACCAAAAAAAAAAAGCAAAAAAACAAGGCTGGCAAATGGAAATGGCCTCCTGCTACAATTACAAAATGTGTATATAGTTCAGGTGTGTCTTCTACTGAATTTGGGGGATAAATCAGGTTGTTTGGTAGTGGATATAGTAGAGAAATGCTTAGTCCAGTGGAAAAAAACAAAAGAAATTGGGTAATTTGAATGGTCAAAGTGAAATTAGTGAGGCATATATGATCCTTAAGGATATATCATCATGAAGAAAATACGCTGTCACGTGGGGCTCCAGCTTGGGGATTTCAAGCTCTCTATGAAGATTTGTGTGAAGATATTACTGGATGGCCGGCGGTGATCACTTGAGCACAGTGATATCTCTTGAGAGGTGGAGAAAGAGTTCCTACGGACTCGGGTCATAAAGTCTGCTGACCACACTGCGCCCTGGATTTATGGGTTCAAGTCGAGGCCTGAGTATTGCCCACAAGAAAATAAAATCCGCTGTGTTGGGGTTACTTGGTCCCTAACCCGTGGATCCCATCACTACCCCCACCACCATCACGGCTCCTACATCCCCCACCCCTAGCTGCCACACAAACCACCAACACCACCACTCAACCTAACTCCCTCCTCCTCCTACCCGCTCTCAACACCCAAGGCAATCCAACTAGAAACCCCACCCCTTCACCCCTCACCTCTCCCTAACCTCACAATCACCAAAAATCACCACGATGGACTCCCCCATTCAAAATAATACCCTATACAAACTCGATGCCTCCTTCTCTGAGGTGCACAGAAACCGCCTTGAGTTCATAGCCGGTCCCGATACCACCCTCCAAAAGCCCCTCCATGCCACACCCTTCCCCAACCCTTCCTCGAATATCCGGTTGGTCCCGGATCCAAAAAATCTCCCACCAGCACCACCTATGGCAGGCAAGTCGAAGGGCCCCGTCAGATTTGCCACCGATATCAAAGTCGATTACTTTTATTTTCCCAATAAATCGGTCGACCAGCCCGTCAGGATGCGTAGGGAGATTTACGATGACGACGAGGGTGTTTTGTTGTACTATCTCGAGATTTGCGAAGAGGGACTTGAGAGGATGTGGAATATCCCCCGGAGAACTGTCAGATGCCAGATCAATGGCAAGAAGGGCATGATCGAGAGGTTGAAAAAGGAGAAGCAGCACCGGGAGAAACTGGAGCTTGCTGGATATGGGTACTCTGGTGGTATGGAATCTGAGGACAAGGATATAGCTAGGGCGGTCCCGATTAATCAAAAGATGAAGGAAAAGGTGGTTAGGTTGAGGGAGGAACTCAATGAAGAGCTGTTGCTAACCCCGGATGAACTCGAAATTTCTCGCAAAACAGCCCAGAATACCAAGTTAAACACCGGTACTATCAAGGATTTTGAGGAGTTGCGGGAGTTGGAAGCACCCAAGACGAGCGACAAGAGAGCGTATCTTGCTCCCTCCTCTCTCATTCCACCACCACCACACGACATTCTCGAGAATGGTCGGGACAAAAATCACACTAACGATCAGGGGAAGGCCAGAGTTGCCGAGGCAAGCAGTAGAAAGCCAGGAGATCCCTTGAGAATGCCCGACTGTGGCGACCCGAAGACCGGTGCCGAGTCAGATATTACCCAGCAAAAGCGTGTTCCGAAGTCGGGACCTGGGGCGGGGGGGCCTCTCCGGTGGGACGAATACCTCAAGGCCACTGGGAAGAAGTCGTCAACCGCAAACGAAAAAGGGAAAGCACTAGGAGGGGGCTGCCTGAATCTACTCCGCCCTCTTTCTCGCCCAAAAAACCGAATTAGGCCCGCTTCCAGCAAAGCCAAACAAACCGGGAAGCCGGGAGACATTAAGTGAAGTTATGTGGAATGAAAGCGGGGTGGAGGACTGAGCCGAAGAGAAAAAACTATCATTAAAAAAAAAAAACCGAAAAAAACCTTCACTAGACGTCCAGAACAAAGGCGATAGTAGGGAGCTTCTGGAGCCTGTGGATACTTGACATGTTTTCGAAGGCCGGACGGCCGGATAGGAAAAATCTCTACTCAATCTTTCAACCATCACTCTCTTTACCAAACCAACCAGTACCGGATCCTCAGTACCCTGTTTTATCGAACGATACGTTGGAGTCGGGCATCCCGGAAGCCCGAGTCCTTACCAGAGCCAAATCCCAGAGGGGTTACACATTCTTTCCAATTTTCTATGGATTACTACCACCTTTTAGTTGAGCTCTTATTCTGGGTTCCCCTCTCTCCTTCCTTCCCCCTTTGTATTCTGTTGGATACTATCTTGTCTTATACAACATTTCTCTTTCTTACCCCAAATCTCGGATTCAGTTAGCCCGTGGTTTTTAAGGTCAGGTTGTGTTGTCATATTTTTTTTTCTTTTTTCTCCTTCTTCAAAACTCGGAAACCCAGCATTGTCTTTAAGGTTTTCCGCGTTCGTGGACAGGGTTCCTAACTGATGACGCACTTTTTTTTCTTTTCTTTTCTTCAATATCAGACGACTCACCTGTGGTTGGGGATATCGAGCTCGAGTGGTTTCTTCCATGTCTATGATAAAGCTCACTATTAAAATGGAATTATTTCTTCAGGTCACAGACCCTCACTCGTCCAGTTGATCTTTACCTAGTAATGCCAATGTTGGTCCTGTGTCAGGGGAAGTGGAGAATGGGGGTTTCCCATGTGCAATGAATCGCACGCACGAGTTAAGGACGATACGCTATTACGATATTCTCATCGCCGAGGAACCCCCCTGCTCCCCTATTCCAGAGACGCCCCTCCGCCAGCAAACTGACCTCTTTAAAGCACAAAAATCGCGACGCCACATGGCCAGGAAACATCCACCAGGAGGTCTGCCTTCTTCCGACACTCACTTTAGCGATCTATAGGTGATCCGCAAGCACTCCGTACCCGTGCAATATCTATCAAACCACTATTCCAAATACATCACTCCCGAACTTGGAGGTTGCTTCCTTGTCCAAGATATAAGATGAAGTGACCCACCCACACCTAAGATCCTCTCTCTCCCGAACCCCAGTGAAAGGAAAAACACTAAGGGCGTATCAAGCATGATAGCTATCATTCACAACGCACAGCAGCAGCCAACCACCATTCCACCCGCGACACGTTCACAAACACGGAGACTACACTACCCGCGGAAGAAAAGGAAGGAAAAAAACCCAACGAGGTAACGACAGGATCAAGATAAATTCCAGGAACAGTAGACACCCTCGCGAACTCAAAACTTATACCCAGAAGACGATCACTCAGATTTATTGTAGCAACAGATTTAACATAACAAACCCACCTTTCCCCCCTCCCAAGTCCCGCTCACAAAGAAAAGTACCATACAAGTACCATTTCATTTCATCACTCGGTTCATAACAGCCGCCAACCAACACGAACAGTATATAAAAAAAAAACTCGGTTCGCGAATGATACAGGTGAGTGTCCAAACAGCGCATCCATCCACACGCGGGAAAACGGATATCTCTGAATATACCACCCGGTCACGGAGCCTATACACCCCCACAACATTTGCAAGATCGATGGATGGAGCGGTTGAAGGCGGGGATGGGGTGTGTGTGAAGGGCAGTCACTCACTCTCTCAAGCCGGAACTTCATTCCAGTCCAGTCCAGTCCCGGACAATTCATTCCAGCACCGCAATCCACGAAACGAACCTTCCTATCATACAACTACGATCCTACCAATCCACAGCATGCATACATCAATAGAAAAAAATTAAAAAATGGGGATCAAGTTAGTTACTGTAGGTAGAAGCAAGCAAGCAAGCAAGCAAGCCACTCACGGGTATTTTATTTCCCATAAACAAATCCATAATGGTAATAATAATAAAAAAACCTCCATCACAAATAATCACTCACGGATAATGCAGTTGTTGATGGTTACTGAGGTATTTTCGTATCATACGGTACGGTAATCCAACCAGACCCCCAGAAAAATTAAAAATTAAAAATTAAAAATTAAAAAAATGTAGGACTTCATACTCCATCACTCGGTCCAACACCGTCTGTTTTTTTTGTTTTTTTTCATCTATATACCCATCCATCGTAAAATATCGGGGGAGAGAGCATCCGTACCGCTCAGAATAAATAAATAAGGGCTGGAAAACCCCTCAAATCGTCCGGAATCTACATTTGAGGAAAAGACCCAATCACTCGCCCGGCGGTTTCTCCCAGCGGGGAGGAGGGTGGCTTGCGCAGTGAGGGTGCATAGGAGTAGAGTGTAGGCGAGTGCGATTGTGATGGCTTCGGTGTCACGGGGAGTGGGGTTGGGATTGATGAATTGAGTGAGCGAGTGAATGGGGGATGGAAAGCGCACCGAGTTTTCTTATTTGGAGGAATGGGAATCTTGCCGTCTCTGTATTGTACTGTACTGTATTGTATTGTATTGTAATGTATTGTACATATCCCCACCAGCCAAACCGAGCATAACCACCGTCAAATCCAAAATTGGAAGCAAAAAGCAAAGACAATTTGACATTGGCATCGGCATTGGGAATGAAAGGAAAAAGAAAAGAAAAAAAACTCCAAAGCGAAATATGCTACATAGATTCTCATGAAAACCCTAGTATACAATTGACGAATGAGAGCCCTACTTTTTTTTTTTTTTTTTTTCTACAAACTCTGGGAAAGTTTGCGAGAATTAGTCTTACTGTGGAGAATCGGTGAGAGGGTAGAGATAAGCAGGTAGGTAGGTAGGTATCATAGCTGGATACGTTAGGTTGGTTAGAGTCGGTGAGGTATGGTAGGTAGGTTAGGTGGGGTAAGGTAGGACAGTCAAATGAAATAGAAAAAAAAAGAAAGAAAAAGTCATGAGTCGTTCTTGACAAAAAGAGACATTATGCAGTTAGAAGGTGAAGCGAAGTAGAAGCGGAAATAGAAACAATAAAAAATAAAGTAGGAGTAAAGTAAGCCAGATAGGTAAAAGTGGAGTAGTAGAAAGACACTCCCGAAGAGAAAGCAAGCAGGCAGCAACATGGACAAAAAAAAAGCGAGGCAAAAGAGGGGGGGGGAAGGGAAGGAAGTAATAGCCAGAAAGGTCAAGTAAAGCAAAGCAAACCCATCCCGGGTCCCCGCCGTCCCAATAACACCAATACAAGACAAGACCAAAAAAGCCCGAAACGAAACGATATTTTTTTTTATGAAAAAAAAAAAAAAATGGAGAAAAAATCCTGTCGAAAGTAAGACATCACATCCACCAGAGCGGCTAAGCCGGCCCGCCACCCCCACTACCGAAACGTCTCCGCCAGCCTGCTCTGAAACTTGATCCCCTCCCCAGCAACCCACTCTAGCAAAAAGGCATATCCAAAGTTCACCGCCTCGAGCATAGCCGAATTCCTGTGCAAGGGCAATTGATATGCCTGCTTGAACTGCCCGTTCTTAACATTGATAGTGTTGGGATGAACAAACCTCTTACTCCTCAAGGCGTAGGTCTGCGGGAACTTGACCTGTATGTCATCGTATGTGAGCCCCTTATTGCCCATGAGCCAGCAATCCTTCAGTTCACGGGAGGATTTTGTGAGGGCAGATTTGAACATTTGGTAGGCCTTCATTTGGTCGCTGGCGCTATTCCCGCTCGAGTCGGGGGTCGGCGCTTTGGAGGCTGTGTCCGGGATGGGCATCTTATCGTACTGCGCTATTTCGAGGTCAAAGACGTGCTGGCGAACCACGGCCTCCAGTTGCTTACTATTGATTGGGACGCGTTAGTCATTGGTGATATGGACAAGGACCGATTGGCAAATGTGGGGAAGCAAGAGGAACCTACATGAGGCCAAAGAGGTATGGGTATGGCACGGCCTTTTCGGCGACAAAGAGACAGAGCGGGATAATCGACTTCCACATGTCCACCGGTGGGAAACGACGCTCCAGCAGTTTTGCTTCCTGCTCGAAGGAGAAGGAGATCATGAAGCACAGGACCGAGTCCGTGAGAACAACCGTAGAATATCGGAGCTTATCCCGGTCGACTGTTGGCCCGTCCAGCGACTTGAAGACCCGGTCAGCTTCATATTTGGCATTTTTCCCGAACTCGGAGAACCTGTGATATGATCGTTAGCCCAACCAGCCAATCAATCAACCAGAAGCGATCGAGTATATCTTGCCTAGAAAATTCCCTCCTAAACCCGTGAGCCTCCGCCAAGATAGCAGGAGTCAGCTCCTTAGGTGGAGCTCCCGAACCCACACCGTTTCTCCCCCCGTTTCTCTCTCCCTTGGCCGGTGTAGGAACACGTCCCTCAGAGTCGGAGCGTTTCAATGCCGCAGCGCTGCTAAGCTTCTTCGGGGGTGTAACCATGTCCCGCTCCTTAGGCGCCTTCAATGCCGGAGACTTGAAGGCGGGAGACCTCGTGGCCGAAGAGTTGAGGCTATCGGCCCCCTTCTGCCGTTTGGCAGGAGGCGCTGACGAGTGCTGCTGATCCTCATCTTGGCGAATCCGTTTAGGGTTAGGTTTCAGCCGTAACAAGCTCGCAACGTCCTTCATGCGACGCCGGCTGAACTTTAACCTGACAACCAGCGAGAAGGCCGATTCCGACGGGGTCGGGTATTTCGACGAGGCGCGGGAGCCAGATGGCTTCGGACTCACCGGTCGCTTGCTCACCGTCTTAGCGGATACCGCCTTGGGGGTGGTGTTGCCGCCAAGAGCGCTCCTCGGGATCGTTTTGCTTCCGACCGCTTTGCTGGGCGACTGGAGAGCGTGGCGGGGAGTGCTAGATGTAGATCCCGGCAGTTTTTTTCCCGAAGCTATAGGCTTCTTTCCCTTGTCACTAGCATTGGAACCCGCCCTCTGTCGCCGCTTCAAAGTTGCCGAGCCTTCGGAATGACCCTCATCCCTTTTGGCGCGTGACCTGTCCCTGTCCCTATCCTCCTGGGCAAGTGCTTCCTCGATAGCCTGCGGCAGTGTAGGACTCAATAATGGCGGGAGCGAGGGCAGAGTCGGGGCAGCCATCGCTGGCGGTGGAGGAGGGCGCAAGGGCGGCGGAGTCACGGTTCTCTGCCGTTTCTTGGGGGGCGGTCCTTCTCGCGCCGGTGCCACCCGCACCTCCTTAGAGCTCCTAACCACAGCCTCCCGTCTCTCCGGAGTCCTATCCTCCACAGGCCTTCGCGAGCGCCGTCAGTACCGTGGAACCACCGAAGGGAAAAGGAACAAAAAAAAAAAAAAAAACTCACTTCTTTACCGTCGTCCGTGAATTCTTCGAGGCCGTTGAAGGGGCAGATGCGGTGGGCGGAGCCGAGGCCTTTGCCGGTGTCTTTCCCGCAAAATACTGGTCCAAGCTAAACTTCTTCGCCGTCAGTGACTTTGCAGTCCCGTTGACGCTCGGCACACTCCCGCTTCCGGGTGTGGGAGCACTTCCATTGACCCTCAAAGGCTTCGTCTCGGGTTCGGGGCTGTCCGGGAGCCATTTGTCCTTGTAGTCTGGCCTATCCAGCAGGGTCAAGTACTCGTAGCAGAAACACTGGTCAGCCTCATGATGTCGGCACCGCTTCAAGTCCCCCTCATTGTTTACTTTCTCCATAATCAAGGGCTTCTGCGGAAGGTTGAGCCTGGACAAACGCGCACCAATGTCGTCGCTGTCATCGGCCGACGCGACCGCTGTATGAGCCATTGAAGTAGCGGTGGAACCAGCCGTTGGATCCGGACTCGCAACTCCACCGTGGTTGTTGGAGGATCCCTCTCCCCTACTCGCGACTGTGTGTCGATCAAGTTGTGCCGCAGTTCGGCTATTCCCCGCGGGAGTTATTCCGGATCAGGACCGGTAGAAAGGCAATTGGGGGATTGCGGTGCACGGTGCAGAGTGGGTGACAAGTGATGAGGTGTTGGGTGCTGCCGATGGCTTTTCCGTGAGGCTTAAACGCGGACAGTGGTTGCTGGACGAGGTCAAAGAAAAAGGTACCGCACGAGGTAGGTGTGGGAGTGCCAAGGGTTAGGGGTTTCGGACAGTAGTAGTAGTAGTGGCAGGTGTAAGAGATGCCGAAGCAGACGAAGGCGGAAGGACAGTGGATCGTGGATAGGAAGTGGAGGCGGAGGAAGTTAGAGGAGGTAGTAGCGGGACGTATCCGGTGGGATGAGGTGTTGGGCGTGATGGTGGTGGTTGTGGTGGAGGTTGTGGTGGTGGAGTTGCCGATGGTGGGTTGGTTGGTGGTAGTGGTGGGTTGAGTTAAGTGGTACCGGATGGGTATATGGGGTGTAGCACCGGTTGGGTGTGGGTGGTGTGGCAGGTGTTGCTGCTTTGCTGCTCCTGGTACGGTAGTGGCACTGTAGCAGCTGTGGTGTGCGTGTGGTGTGGGTGGTGGGGAGAGGGAGAGAGACGAGAAGGAAGTGCAGCGAGAGCCGGGAAGTAGCTTAGAATGGGATCTCGCTCTCTTTCGCTGGGAGAGAGCCGCGCACGTTTTAGGAGCGGGGGGGGGGGGGGGTAGCTCGCCCGATGAAGAAG